GCTTGACCTTTCTGCTGAAACTTCTAGCACTTCACCACTGTGGTCTTTCTGCATTAGAACATTATGTTTTGTCTTCTGCTCTGCATTTTCATCCACTGTGGCTATCTGGAACAGTCTTTCTCCCATTAGCCTCCTTTCCTCCATTGTCTGCCATTTCTCAATAGTCAGGTTTAATCCTGGCCCCACCTCCACCCCTTACTTGGCTTTGTTCCCTGCTGCAGAATCCAAACAATGGCCCAAGATATTATGCCAAAGAGCATAAAATTTAATCCCTGGTTGAGGTCTAGCCGGTGATATGTCACAGGAGCACACATATTAGAGCCATAAGAGATTTTAGCCTTTTCCTAGCCTTATCCTCTCATAAATGAGGATGCTGAGGTAAAATTTTGCACTCCAAATTAGAGTTGGTGGTAGAGTGAGAACTAAATCAGTAGTAACTTTAATTAGATTTCTATTATATTTATTTTCAACAAATAGCCCCTGAGCCCAAGTGAGCCTTAAACATACTTAAAAAAAATACAGATTGGGATGACAGTCATTTCTGTATACTCTATCAGTGTTTTATAAGAGATTAATGTATTTTTGTTTTTATATGAAATACCAAAAAGGGAATTATTTAGAAATTTGTCTGATATCATGACAGCCAGTATGTAAAAGCTGTAATGTTTTTTAAGGCAAAAACGATGTCATTCCACCAGATGTCACTGTTTGCATGTAGCAATGAGGTTACGATGATTAAAAATAAAATTCCCCCACCCTAATTGTATTTTGTAAAAATAAATTCTATATAGTTATACCCCTATTCTTTAGATTTATTATTTTAAGACTACATTCCATGCATTTAAAAAAGTATTTAAAGTACTTATTACCTGTGATATAGATTTTAAAGACAATTTAAAGACAACATTGGTTAAAGACAATTATTTGTAGATTAACATCTTCAATATTAGCATCTTCAAGAACTCTTTTTTTTAATCTAAGAGTTTGCATTTTAAATAGCATTCTTTGTAAGTTACTATTTTCCAAATGGTGGATTGTGATCCAATAAGTAGGTTATAAAATGCTATGAGCACTTAAAAAAAAGTCTGAAATAATATTACTATAGTAAATCTTTTGTATGTGAACATTCTTAAAATATCCCTGCATACATTTTTGAGTTACCTAAAAGTGACTGTGAGGTCTCTCCCGTGTTTTGTATCCGAAGGCCCAAGATAAATGTGCTAAAGAAGGGGTAACAAAGATATGATGGGGGAACTTCTCTGTTGGGATCACATCATGGAGGAGAAAGGGTGGTTGGAGGGAGAGGCTTTCTGCACCATTCACAGAATGCAGCTCACAGTCACTTTCATGTAACTCATTTAAGACATGTACAGAGACTTTTAACGAGCAAATGTTTTCCAATGGGGGAGAATTTGGAGAAAAATTTCAAAGTAAGTGATTCCTTTTTATCAAACAGCACAGTTGTTTAGGGGAGACCCTAAAATCCTGGATTTTAACGTCATTCCGAAGGCTAGTTCTTCCCACTGTATCAGTGTATTTTTAGTTTTCCCTTAAGATTAGACTTCAGTGATTAATAAGTGTATCAATTCACAGGCTCTATCTCAAACATACTGAATTAGGATCTCCAGAGGCATGATCTACAAAGTTGTCGATTTCACAAACATCCCACATAGTCTTGCGGTCAGGCTGTTTTAGGGAACATTACAGTATATCAGCAGTCCTTGACCTTCAGCACACATCAGCATTGCAGGGTTGGTGAAAACACAGATGGCTGCACACTCAGAGGTTCTGATTCATTGCATGTGAAGGGGTTCAAGAATTGGCATTTCTAGCTAGTCCCTGTGTGATGCTCAGGATGCTGGTTAGGGAACACTGAGAACTCTGCAGTACTTCATACTAACTCATGCGTCTCAGTCCCCAAGGCCAGTCTCTGGGCTGATTTTGACTGTAGGAATTTTCAAGATCAGTCAAATTCAATAATACTTCATCAGTATCAACTACATTAGCGAACATGAATAAGAATCACTTTCCACCCTGAACCAGCCTATGATCAGGTGCGAAAAAGATACAGAATAAAAATGTATATTTTTATAATGAAAGAGGAATCAAATTAAAGAGGAAAACTAGTAATGCAAAGCTTAATGTTGATTGGGAGGAAGGGGGTTTTTCAAGGTTTCATGTAAGAGTTAAGATCTGAAATTCTTGTTTTCATTATTTTCAAAACCACATGGGACTATAATTTGGTTTCTTGTCTCCCTTGTTGCTCCTGTAGTAATTTTGGCAACTAGGGCGTCTTTTGCATAATGAAGGTAGGTTGGGCCAGGTGTTAGGGGAGAGAAGTAGCCTTGGTAAGGTAGATGGGGGCCACATACGGAGGACCCTGAAAGCCGGACTCTGGAGCTCATAGTCAGCACTATATCTGGAAGGAGTGTGTCTGACTATAACTGTGGAAGGAGCCAATTGCATGGTTGGAGGAGGGTTAGGCTGGAGGTGAGGGGCCGGCTAAGATATCACAGCACTTAGGTGAGAGAAAATGCAATGGACACCAGAGACACTGGCAGGAAAAGAAGCAGGAATAGCAATTACTTTTAGGGGGGAAGCAGAAGGTTGTAGAGAAGGGATGTTCAGTCTGAACTACTGAGACAGTGGTGTTTACCAAAGGGGAGAACTCTAGAAAGAATTGATTCTTCTCTCTAAAAATAAGACAATGGGGGAGAATTTGGAGAAACATTTCAAAGTAAGTGATTCATTTTTATCAAACAGCATAGTTGTTCTCTTAAGTACCAAGACTATAATTTAGGGAGTTGTCACCACACTAGGTGAACAGTGATACTTAGGTGTTTCCAGGCAACTGATGTGAGAAGGTGAACCCATGACTCTGTTTCTAGAAACACCGTCACTATGAAAACACTTTGCATTTTAACAAAAAAACAAACTAACACAGTTGGTAAGCTTGAATAGCCTGTCCACATGTCTACCAGACATGTGGAAACAGCTGATGAATGCTGTTTTCTTTTAACTTTTCTTCTAACCAACCACATCATTTATCTTTAGTGCACTTTGGGAATGTGAAAAGGTGGTAAGTGTGAATGACTCTATCTGCTTGTTTTTGATTGGAGGCCAGATGAAAATACAGCAGAGTAGCTTCTTAAGTAACCCCTCTCCTGCCTGATATTAGGAACACTTTATTGCTTTTGAGGAGTGTACTCTTGCTTCATCCTTCTAGACCCGAGACCTCACTCTGCTTCCTTGTTATTGTTTTTCTTCAATATATCAATCAAGATTCAGAAAATAGTAATACATGTAGCTATTATAAGCAAAAAGAAACTTGCTAATAGGATTTTTGACACTTAAAAAATCAATGAAAATTTTGGAATCATGAGTTCTAGCAAGGGAGAGCTTCCAGATATGACTTACCGAGCACTCTGAAGGACTCACCAAGCACTCTGAAGGACTCACCGAGCAGGACTGTGCTCCGTCTGGTGTAATTCAGGAAAATGGAAAATCTGGAAGCCAACACTGGCCAAATATCGTCTTAGCTGAGATTCATGGATCAGTTGGTCTCTCCTCTCAAAGCTTTTGACTCTGGAACCACACATGGCGCCTGTTTGCTATGCTCACTAGCAAAAATAAAAGGGCATCTGGCAAAAGAAGTACTGGAACACTTATAAATATATATATATATATATATATAGAGAGAGAGAGAGAATATATATAGAATACAAAGAGAGAGAATATATATAGAATATATATAGAATATAAATATATATAGAATATATATAGAATATAAAGAGAAAGTTGAACTTTATCTTCTTTTTACACTCATATATTTCACTAGATGATGCTGGACGCTTTCCCCCAATGCTCTTTTAGCTTTGGGTGGGCCATTTTTAAAGAATCTGATATGATGGCATTGGAGGGGCTTAACATATTATTAATAACTGCAGGCAGTTGGGTTTGGTTTTGTTTAATCTTCACATTTGGTGGCTTATAAAATGACTGTCTGTTCACATGATTGCATAGTTGCAAGACTGACTCTAAATGCTTCCGTGGGAAATTGATATAGTCTGTGCAAGCCTCCTTTAAATCATTTTGTATTTCTTTTATATGAAGTGCTACAATACAAAAATGAATGTATTTTTCAAGTAGTCTGTAAGTCAGTCATGAATAACACATTTTGTCTTTACATTCTGATTTACTTCATATCCTTGGTTTAATTAAGGCTTTTACTGGTAAGTTTTGAACCTCCCACTTACATATTCTTGTGCATATGGAATTTGTAACCTAGAACAAAATCTGATGCCCAAAGAATTTTCTGTTTATTCCTGCAAGATATGAATCAAAGAAGAGGAAACTTTACTATGAGAAGGCAGTTCTGCTTATGCTTTGCCAGAGTCTAAGAAATGAAACTTGGGGCCTCCCTGGTGGTGCAGGAGGTTAAGACGCAGCACCATGAAGCAATCCACAGCCACTGCAGCACTAGTTCGAACCCCAGCCAGGGAGCTACCCACATGGCACAGCAGACCTCTCCTGACTTGCCTGCTGCTCCCCTCAGCAGTGTATTTCTGTTGATCCACCTGTTCTGTCCCTACTCTCTTTGGTGAATCCTCTCACTACCCCCCTGCACCTCTGGCTTGTACTCCAGCTCTTGTATGCATAAATAAATAAATCTTTAAAAAAATGAAATGAAATTTATTTGTGAGCCTGTAGTGAGGAACAGCAATCTGAAAATAGAGATCTTATTTTTAACCTCTTTTGTTATTGGGATTTCATAGAATAAATTTATTCCAATATCACCATGAAGTTCACCACTAAAATATATTCAGAACCAAACAAATTATTTTTGAATTATTTCCCATTTTGGGTCTGACTTCTACAGAATATCTGTTTAATGTGGATGTTAAACATCAGTGTGTTTATGTTGGCAGAACGTGAAATGAGGGCAATCTTTGGCTTAATTCTATGACTTAAATAAATGTATTATCTCTATCACACTGCAGAATACTGCAAGGAATTCCTGTTATGCGTGACGATCAACAGAATGTTGCCTTCTTTCCAGCAACACCATTGCTGCCTCCTGAAATGGCAGAAAGAACTAGACAGCACACATGCAAACCAAACCTACAAATCTTGGGAGAAGAAGTAAGAATTTCCTTTAATATTTGTTTCTCTATCTCCTAGTTATAAAACGTTTTGGTTTAGGACCCTTTCAACACTCTTTAAAGTTAATGAGAACCACGATAAGTATTGATGTGAGTCATATCTATTGGCATATATAATACTGGACATTGAAATGGAGAAAATGCTAAATATTTGTTTTCTGAGTTTTCTCGGTGTCTTCTTCCATTTCTTCAAATTTCTTTATCATGGCAATTTTAAACTCTGTATCTGAAGACGATATCTTCCATGCCTCTGAAGTTGGGTTCTGGAGATTAGTCCTCTCTCTGTGTTGTACTATTTCGCTGAGGACTCATGGGGCAATTTGTTGGGTTATTTTTTCTCCCTATTACTTGCTTTTGAGCCCTGCTACTGTAAGTGGGGCTTCTGCTGGTCAGGGCTTTATTTGCTATTTCATGAGCATCCTTGTACATATCTTTTCGTACATGCTTATTAGAATTTCCTTACAATATATATTATATATGTAACATACTATGCGTGTATATATGTGTGTGTATATATATATATATATATATATACACACACACACACACACACATATGTCTGGGAATGAAATTGCTGGATCAGTGGTCATGTACATTTTCTGTTTTACTAGAATTGGCCAATGTGCTTCCAGTATGGTTTTACTAATTTGCTGATCTCCTTGGCAGCACTTGGAATCACCAACTTTGCATTTTCCCTAATCTGATGGGTGTGTAAAGTAGTCTTTCCCAGGCTTTCACAGACTCTGGAACTAGAATGAATATTTTTTTAAATATTTATTTTTTATTTGTACAATAGCTGGGGCACAGGCCAGAGGCACGGGAGGGTGAAAGAATTCACCAGAGACAGAGTGGGGAGCAGAACAGGCAGACAGACCGAAGACACTGCTGAGGGGAGCAGTGGGTGTGACAGGAGAGGTCTGCCGTGCCATGTGAGAATCTCCCTGGCCCGTTGGGAATTGAACCTGTGCTGCAGAGGCTACGGACAGCTTCACAGCCCTGAGCTCAACCCACTGTGCCACTGGGGAGGCCCTGATTTTTTTTTTTTTTTTTTACAGGAGCTTAAATTTTCTTCCTAATGACCTTTTATTGGGGTTTTTTTGGGGGGTTATTTTCAAAGGTGTCTTCTTATCCAGGATGTACAAAGTTGTTTTGGAATATAACTCCACCCAAATTCTCTGTTCCAGTATCTATCATGAAGGAAACTGTATATCCAAATTATGAGGTAACATGATTGTTTGACAATTAAAAAAGGTAATCGTTTGACAATGAAAATTTTTTGTCTTTTCAGGGTTTTGTTTATTATGTTTATTTTTCATGTTTATTATTTTTCTCAAGTCAATTGCTAATCTATATTCTTATGAAAGGCACCTATTTGATTGAAATTTATAATTTATAAACAGAATTTGTATATATTCTCTAGTTTTAATCTCCATTTTTAATGTTGCATCATTTTCTTTCCCATAATGCAATTTAAAAACTTTTTATTGTGGTAACTTTGATTTACACCATTGTTTGTCTATGACAAGTATAGGGTTCTACCCTAAGGTGTTGCTAACACAACACCACCTCACACCTGTGAGAATGGCCCATATCAAGAAAAGCAAATCCAATAAGTACTGGTGAGAATGTTGTGAAAAAGGAACCCTCTTACACAGCTAGTGGGAATGTAGACTGGTCTGGCCCCCATGGAAAGCAATATGGAGGTTTTTTAAAAAGATTAAAAATGGATCTGCCATACGACCCAGGAGCAGGTACTCCCAGTTATCTACCTTAACTTGCAAAAACACTTATTGAAAAAAAAAAAACAAAAATCACTACTCCAAAGGGAAGCTTGCACTCCCATGTTCATTGCAACACTGTTCACAATAGCCACGCCATGGAAATAATCTAATGACATATTTAAGTTCTTTCTTCTTTTGAGTAGATGATTTTGAAATAAGTTTTTTTTTCTCTTTTCTCATTTTTCAATTACAAATGTTTTAGTCTCTACTTGTGAAGCTACTATACTCACATCAGTATAAAACCATCCCCTTTGTGAGTTGGTGGTGGGTTCACTATGGCAGTATCTGATGGGGTACCCCAAAATTACTCAGTCATAAATAAATAAATAAATAAAATCATAATTAGGTTCTCAGTAACAAAAGTGTATAATATCTTGAAAAAAATCCCTTTAATTTTTTAGTAGGGTTTGTGATGTCATCCCTTAGCTGTTACATATCGTGGCCAGTTAGCCAGAAAACAAATGAGTTCAACTTACCATCTTTGACCAAAAATTTTTAAATTTATTAATTCAACTTTTGCATCTCTGAATGCTTTTTAATTTTCTCTTTGAAAATTTTTTGGTTATTGACTCTCTGTTTTCCTTAGATTGACACTTGTGTTTGGTTGTTTTGTTAAACACTTATGTTGGCAATGAAATTAATTTATCTTCTTTTTAAATAATATAAGTACTTCATAAATTTTCTTCTAAGACTTTTGTATTGTTTATATAAATTTTTATTTATAGTGCGCACTTTTATATCCTGAATAATTTTCATTGAAGTTTGGTTATCTTTTTTGATACATTGCTTATGTCAGTAAATTGTTTTTAAACTTTTTTGACAGATTTATTTTGCTTAAATTTTATTCTTAATTCTTATTGACTAGGAAAATATATTCTTTAGAATAACAGTTTATTGGAATTTATTGACACTTGCTTTGTGGTATACTAGACATTCCAATAGTATCTATCAATTCTCTCTTCAATTTTAAATGGTTAACTTGGCCTTACTAATATTATCTTTTTGTGGGCAGTTTCTTCTTATCTGTCCTATAAGTTAGGCTCATAATTTGAACAAACAAAGCAGGAAGATGATTTAACTCATCATGAATCCACCAGCCTGTCAAATTTAGATCTAGCTGTTTGTGCATATACAAAGCACTGATTACGAACAGAGAAGTAGCACATTTAATAATAATCATAATTACCTCAGAAGTTTATCATTATAATAAATTGCATAAGTGACTTCATTAATGGATAGTTTGAACTATAAAGCATTAAGGATATTTTTATTTCTATTAACATTTAGGAATGGTCACTTTTCACCATAGTCCCTTGTGCTATTCTCTCCCTTAATCCCTTTCCTTCCCTTCCATCAAATAATGTTTCTTATCCACGGTTGCCTGCTAGTTTTATTACTATTATTATTGTTTTTGCTGATGTAAAAGATACAAATAAAAATAAATATAAAAAAAAATGGTCACTTTTGAACAATAAATCCAAATGATAGGTCCTGTTCATAATCCTGATGTTGATATGCTAGATTCAGTGCTAACCTATGAGGTCACAGGCTCATCCATGGTTCCTCAGATTAGGTTAGGGATAAAGGAAATAATGTAAGCATATTCATAAATGTTAAATTGTGTGTGTCAGCCAAATACTAAGACTGTTGCTGGATTTGAATTATCTCTGGTAAGTGTTTTCTAGCATTCTACTTTTCCTATACGTTTCTCTTTTGGTAGTAATGTACTGTGAAGTAATAGTGATCCTAAGTTTTTAAAAAGTATTCTATTACATAATTCAAAACTTATCTTTTTATCACAGAGTGTTCAATCAAGCAGAATTTTAATTGACAGATTATCATGTGAAAGCGAGGAAAGTGTCATTACTTTAAGTCAGCGTAGGATAAGTTCTAGGGTATGTATAATTTTTATTCTGAGTTGTGGGTTGGTTGGTGTATCTGCCTACAGTTCATATGCTATTTTTAGTAATTTAAGACATTATTTGTTTGTGTTTCCTCATTCTGGAAAATGCCTCAGAACTCACTCTGCTGAGAAATAAGCCAGAAAGAAAAAGAAAAATACCGGATGGTCTCACTCATAACAGGAATCTAGAAAACTTAAATAAGGGACCAGGAAAAAAGAATAACTATGAGAAAGAAAATATCAAAATCAACAAACAACTATGAACCAGAGACACTCTATGGGGGGTGGGGGGCGGGGAAAGGCGGGCTTGGGGTCAAAATAAGGGGGTTGTAATTGTATGGGGAATATAAAAATGAAATTTAAATAAAAAAATCAATGAGAAAAAAACAAAAAACAATAAATTAATCTTAAAAAAAAAAAGAATGGAAGGAACCGGGCCTCCCTGGTGGTGCAAGGTATTAAGACATAACACTATGAAGCTACCCGCAGCCAAAAAAAAAAAAAAAAACTCACTCTGCTGAGATAGCTTTTTTCTTTCTTGCATAGATTGTCTTTATCATTCTGAGAAGTTATTAGTTACTAATCGGTTTGTCACTTATTCATCACTTGTTGCCCAGGTCTTAATCATCAAACATGTTTCTGAATCTTTTGACCTAAGGGAGGATCTATTTATAGCCACAAAGCACAGTAAATACAGTCCTTAAGTGATGGTAAAATTTTTTACCACTCTACAGTGCATCCAAGAAAGCTAATTAAATAATAAACACAACCGGTGAGAAAAGAGAGTGTTTGTGGGAAATTTCAATAACGGCTTTAATAAATGTCTTGAACTTTATGGGGGACAGACAAGAAACCACTTCATTTTTCACAAACATTTAATATTTTGAATCCCAGTGAAAATCCCCTTCTTGTCGGTTACCTAGATGTGTCTATGTCTCCACCATTGTCCCCCACATGGTAAGGTAATTTTTTTGACGGGGGGAGAAGATAATGTTTCTATTTAATATGGATCACCGTTCTGTTCTTTTCCTTACAGCACTTCTTAAATATTTGTCCTTATGGTCTTTTTACTCCTCATCAGCCTAGGGCCATGTCATTCTCGTTCACTGTTTTATCCACAGCTCTAGAGCACATAAAAAATAATCGAACCAACAAATGGCACTTTCTTGTTTGAAAAGCCATTTGTAATTTCTGAACTATTGGAGTGGCATTAGTTACACTGGCTGCCAGATATTCTCTTTTTTATAACTGTTCCTGTCAATCCATCCTCCCTACTGGCCCCTACTACATTCTTTTTTTTTTTAAGATTTATTTATTTATACAAGCACTGGGTATAGTCAGAAGCGCAGGAGGGTGAGAGAATTCATCAGGGCCAGAGCAGGGAGCAGAGCAGGCAGAAGGACCGGAGTACACTGCTGAGGGGAGCAGCGGGTGGCAGGAGAGGTCTGCGCGCCATGTGGGACCCTCCTCTGGTGGCCGGGGAGCAGCCGGGGATCGAACTGGTGCAGCAGAGGCTGATGGGCAGCTTCGCAACCCAGTGCTCAACCGCTGCGCCACCGGGGAGGCCCCCCTACTACATTCTTAAACACAGATATGATTATGTCTGTCACGTCTCAACCAAGTAATATTTAGTAGGTAATATAACTAAATATTGGTACCTCAACTATATTTTCTAACTTAATCCCCATTACACTTTTGCTTCCTTGTAACCTCCATGTGTCCTGTGTTCTGTCTGTACCAAAAAGTCCTTGGGACTGAAATCCCTGAACACCACAGCTTGTTTAGTCTATTCCAGTGGCTGTTCCATGTTCTCAACCCTTTTCTGTCTATGGAAAGTTTGTTACCTTTAAAAGCCTCCTTTGAGGGAGAGGAGTGAGAGGGATGGAGAGAGGAGCACAGGGACAGTGGTGAGGGTGCACGGGAGCCTTGGGGAAGGAGATTCTATGGGCACTCAATCTGAGGGGGTGGGGGGAAGAAAATATGGTCTAAAAAATGTAAAAAATGATAAATGTTAAAATAAAATGAAAAAAAAAAAAGCCTCCTCTGATGCTACCTCTTTATCTTGGTTTATCAGGTGTCTTGTCTTTCAGAATTACCCTCTTCCTCAACTCTTTTCTCTTCACTCCAGCTTTATGCCAGCTTTATAGCCATTGCCAGTCGCTTTCAATTATGCTTACTTCTTTTTATGCCTGTTTAATCCATTATACTGGTTTAGGGTATGGAAAATGTCATTTTGGGGGGTATTTTCTAGGGGGTAGTATTTCTCAACTCTTATAATAACTGTCATATTAGGTGATATTTGTGTGATTCTGTGGAGTAAAAAGTTGGAGGTGGTTCATGATTAGAAGTGATTTTTCAAGTGACAGTAGCTACTCTAGGTGCCACTAGTGCCACCCCAGGACAAAGGGGATTAGTCCCCCAGCATATTGATAGCATATACACTCACACTTGTGCCACTTATACAAACTGGAAAGCTGCAGCATAGCACCTTGCACACTTGATAAGTGTGTGCTTGTCAAGTTGAATTTTTAAAAACAAAAGTTTCCATGGTTATATACTTTTTAAATTTAATTGATGGATTCTAAATTCTGTTCTTCCTTGCGAAATCAGTGACCTTGAACTAGTAAGGACCTACATTTTCATTAGTATTTGTAGGATAAATGAATCAATCAGGCTTCTTCTACCATTAGCCCCTGTGGCTATCACCTGCAGTTTTGATCATACTAACACAGAAGGCACTAGGGAGTGTCGGTGCGGAGCAAGCGTGCCTGACTATGGACACCTGAGCATAGGGGTGTGTACATGTGCAAGTGTGTGCACCTGAGCTTAGAGGTCAGGGATATAAGGGCGGTGTCACTCAGAGACAGAGGATGGCTAGGAGAAGCCCAGTGGCCTGACTACAGAAGAGGCAAGATCACGCAAGAATACCACAGAGCCCAGAGAGAGTAAAGATACATGGGGAGCTGGGAGGCTGGGTTGCCTGGCTGCATCCCAGCCCCCCTACCCCAATGCCGGGCCTTTGCCTACCTCCTTGCAGTCCAGCCTCCCTGCCTGGTGTGCCTGTGTACCTGGTTCCATGAGAGCATTAGAGCCTGAAAAATTCCACTTGGGGCTCAGGAACTCTCTTTTATCCTTATGCCAGAATTGATAGAGAACCTGCCCTGTGCTTGCTTGCACAAGAGTATTTCTGCATTTTTATTAATTTACTTACACAGTTATCATTAGCCAGCTGTAATGTATTTTAGTTTCACAAATATTCTCTACAGTCAATGCATATTTATCATTTGCTTGTTTCATAGGCTTTCTTCCTAAGAAAAGCTGCATCATTTGAAAATATCCAACATTTCAATACACAGCCTCCGTGGTTAAAGGTATGATAATTGTTCAGATGTTATTCAAAGAATAGTAATAGACATCACTTAAACTTAAACTTTTTAACATTGATTCATCCAGAGTTAAATGAAGGTTGGGAATCAAATGTGTATTGGTATACCCTCTAAGATTGTGGTTCATGGTGCTACAAGCAATACAAACTAGCTGGTGCTTATTTCCAGTTCTTGTAAAGTAGAATATGTCACACTGTTTCCCAGGTTTGAACCCTTGCTTTGATTATTTAACATACTCTTTGTCCAGTTAAAAATGCAGTCACTTTCCTCTGCGCCAAAAATGCACAGATCTTTTGGATGGGCTGGTTCTTACCTTTGGTGCATTGACAGCTTAGCCCCAACTTTTCTTTTTCTCTCTGAAATAAATCATTCAGTCAGCTTCCTTGCTTCTTCATGTCACTTGCTTTTAACTTGTTAACTTACTCAACTGTAGCATGCTTCCTATTTTATTTCTGACATTCTTCCTTCTTAATTGACTTGATTCTTCTGCTTTGTCTCCCTTTTATATGATCACTATCCTTAAGATTATTTTTAACTGAGATGTAATTGAAATATAACATCAGTTTCAGGTGCCCAACGTAATGATTTGTGATATCTGTCTATATTGTGAAATGATCACCACAATAAGTTTAGTTAACATCTGTTATCTCACATAGTTGTGATTTTTTTCTTATGATGAGTACTTTTAAGATCTATTCTCTTAGTAGCTTTGGAATATACAATACACTATTATTAACTATAGTACCTCTGCTGTATATTATCTCCCTAGGACTTATTTTATAGTCGGAAGTCTATATCTCTGACTCCCTTTGCCCATTCTCTTCCTTCCCTCCCAGGCTTAGGTAACCACTAATCTGTTCTTTGTATCTATGAGTATGTATGAGTATGGTTTTTTTTTTTTTTTTTTTTACATTTCACACACATATAAGTGACATCAAATGGTATATATCTTTGTCTGACTTATTTCACTTGTCAACTCAGACTTCAAGATTAGTCTGAGTTGTTGCAAATGGCAGGAGTTTCTTCTTTTTAATGGCTGCACAATATTCCACTGACTATACGATCTATATCTCTATATCACAACTTGCTTATCCATTCATCCATTGATAGGCATTTAATTTATTTTCATTCCTTTGCTATTGTAAGTAATGTTGCAATGAACACTACTCTGCTATCTCCTTAAGGTATTCTTTCTTTCTTTCTTTCTTTCTTTCTTTCTTTCTTTCTTTCTTTCTTTCTTTCTTTCTTTCTTTCTTTCTTTCTTTCTTTCTTTCTTTCTTTCTTTTCATGTTTATCCTATAGCTTTACTGAATTCATTTTTTTTTTAAAGATTTGTTTATTTAGGCATACAAGAACTCGGGTGCAGGCCAGAGGTGTGGAGGGTGAGAGGATTCACCAGAGACAGAGTGGGGAACAGAACAGGCAGGTTGACTGAAATACACTGCCGAGGGGAGCAGCAGGCTAGTCAGGAGAGGTCTGCTGTGCCATGTGGGTAGCTCCCTGCCTGGGGATCGAACTCATGCTGCAGTGGCTGCGAATGCTTCATAGGTTGCATCTTAACCCCTTGCGCCACCAGGGAGGGCCAGTGTTGTTGTTTTTTTTTTTTCCTTTGAGTCTTTAGAGTTTTCTCTATTATATAAGGTCATATCATCTGCAGATATAGACAATTTCTCTTTAGTTGTGATTCGAATGCATTTTTTTCTTTTTCTTGCCTACTTGTTCTGGCTAGGACTTCCATCACTATGTTGTGTTAAAGTGGCAAGAGTGGACACTTGTTTTCTTCATCTTTTTGGAAAGCTTTCAGTCTTTCACTGTTGACTATGATGCTAGCTGTGGCCTTGATTATGTTGGGGTATGTACCTTCTATACCAAATCTGTTGAAAAGGTTTTTTTTTAATCATGAAAGGATGTTGATTTTTGTGAAATCCATCTTTGGCATTTATTTAGATGATCATATAATCTTCATTGTTCATTATACTAATGTGATGTAACATATTTATTGATTTGGGTAGGTTGAACCATCTTTGTTTGTAAGAGATAAATCCCACATGATCATGTTGTATGATCCTTTCAATGTACAGTTGAATTCAGCTTGCTGGTATTTTCTTGAGAATTTTTGCATCTATTTTTATCAAAGATATTGGTTTGGTTTTCTTATAGCTTTATATACATACTAACCATATAAAATAGGAAGTTAGTCATATAAAAGAAGAAAAGCCTATCTTTTTTAACAACATGGATGAATCTTGAGGGCATTGTGCTAAGTAACAGAGAAAGATAAATATGGCCTCTTCTCCTACATGAAGAATCTATAAAAACTGAATTTGCAGAAATGTGGAATAGAGTGCTAGTTGCCAGGGACTGGGAATGGGGGAGGAATAAGTATATGTTGGTGTGAACTGCCAGTTTTAAGTAAATTTTGGGGATCTAATGTACAGTACAGGGTCTATAATTATACTGTATTCATATTGAAAGTGGTTAAGAAAGTAGATATTAAATGTAAGTGCCAAACACACAAAAATGGTAACTACATGAGCTAATGGATGTGTTAACTAACCTTATTAAATGGTAATCATTTCATAATATATATTGTATCAAGTCATCACATTACATACCTTAATTTTATATATGTTATGCACAAACAATTTTACAAGGCTATAAAATAAAACAAAATCCTCATTCTGGTACCTTTCATCTATAGTTATAGATTCTATCAGTAATTGCCTACCCAGTGTTTTTCAGACTGCATATTACTTCCTTGTGTGATTCATATCTACTGGGTAAGTGGGGAGTGAGGGTATCTAATGTTCTACCCTTTTTTTCAGGCACATGTTTTCAGGCTCCAGTATATTCTCTCTCTATGTATAAAATATATACACATGTATATATTTATGTATATTATGTACATATATGTACATATATACTCTGTAGTCTACATATTTCTCTAGTCTCCTTTTTAATTACAAATTGAATTATAGTTTCTTAACTAGAAATATAAGATAAGGGGAAGTATAGAAAGTCATGAAGGGTCAATATTGCTGTTGTTTTAGTACAACTATTGTATATAATGAGCTTGTGTGAAATTGTTGTGCTTGAAATTTGGATCTAAATTTACTTTAAAGTTATCTATAACAATTAATTATTTAACAAAATTAAATAAATGTAGTAATTTACTGTTGAAAACTCAAAAGGCAGGAAATACTATATCAAAGGATTAGAAATAATTTCTCTCTTACTAGTAATAAATATTAGTTTCAAGTGCTGATGAATAATCTTTAAAATTGTTTAGGATTATTAATGTGTCACAATATTGAATCATTAAAAATTAAGTGGATTCTCTAATGATTAGATTAAATAAATATTAGGCTGACATCCTGTTACTTTAGCTTGCAAATATTGAATTGAAAATCTCGTAGAGACCATCTGAATACTATTGTTTAGAAATTTAATGCTGTTAAAGTGCTTTTGAAAATGGACTCACACATTGATTTTTATGACATTTTAATCATTTTTATCCATTATATCAATTTTTGCATTAAAAATAGAGCATGTGTTATATTTGAATATGTAAAGAACATTTCTGTTAATTAAAAATGTATAAAATCAGTTAATTCATCTATACTTTGTAGTGTTACTTTTATGTAACTAAAAATGTCATACCTTGCTTTAACTAACCCACTGTTAACTTTAGAAGCTCACTTTTGAAGAATCTCATGAATACATGATTTAAAATTTTTCAGTAGTGTCCAACTGCATTATTAATGATTGGAGCTGAATTAATTTTAAATGTGTAGCAATTAAATCAATTTTTTTCCTGCATTTTAATTTCCTTATTAGAGAGTAAAATCTACAGTTGAGTTGTGGAGGGAGGAGGCTCCCACAACAAAGTTTGAGATCAAGAATGATGTGAACACCAACATGGAAGAGGTGTTGTTTCAGAAATCAAAGGCGTTGGAGTGGCAGAGCATTACTGAGCAAAAGGAAACTGAGGAATCCAGCTCTGTGCGAGAGAGTATCGATACCATCTTAGATAATATGCAGCACAGACACAGTTTTAGAAATCTCTCTCTCTCTCTCATTGAAGCATCCAAACAAGCTGGCATTACTTACATTGTTTATCCCAAGAAAAGGAAGATGAAGTGGAGAAAAAGAATGAAATTTCAGAAACTTACAATGGTGTATGAAGAATTAGCCAAGCCTCCAAAAATTATTGAAAGGTCTTGCTTAATTAATCATTGTTATAGTTTAAGAAAATTATTGTGGTTTTGACCTTAATTAATTTTCTGTATTGCTTCTATTAAAAAGTATTTTAAACTGGGTTAACAGTGGGGTGCCCCTATCAGGGTACTTACCACCTACTCACCCATATTCTACCACCATGGCCCATCATTTTGATGGCTAAATGAAATCTTTTAGAGGAAAGACATGGAATCTACCAAGTTATTTCCCTGGAGTGATTTAACACCAAAACCAACCTCTGCTCTAAACAAATATCACTTATTCAAAAATTGAAATAGATTGTTGGTATTTGACTTTTTTCAAATTTTAAGCGATTGAATCAAGTAATAAATCTAGATAGAAAAATTGTTTCTGTATGCTGTGAACACTTACACAGGGATCAACACACAGAAATAATTAAATTTTCTCCTTACTTGGAAGTAATTGTATTTAGCATGTTTAAAATTATGAAGGGAACTAAAATAACAACAACTGACATTTCAGCTCTCTTCATATAAAGTGTTCAGAATATAGCTTTCTTATAATCCAAGTGTTGTGCAGAATAGTTTCTAAAAAGCCTCTGGGCTTTCTCTTTATCCTGAGATGACAGAATTCATTACACTTACACTCTTTTGAATAGTAAGGATTTTACTGGTGATGAGTCATAAACACTTTGTTCACTTTATTGTTACAAAGACTTGCTGATTCTGATTAAGGGTTAGTTATATTTTGGCGTGGTGGCTTACTGTCCTTTAGAAGACTGGGGAATAACCCTATATGGGTATGAGTGAGAGTGGAACAGAGACCAACCTTTTTTTTTTTAAAGATTTATTTATTTATGCACGCAAGAACTGGGGTGTAGACCAGAGGTGCAGGGGGTTAGAGGATTCGTCAGAGAGAGTGGGGAGCAGAATAGGCAGATCTACTGAAATACCCTGCTGAGGGGAGCAGCTGATGAGACAGGAGAGGTCTGCTGTGCCATGTGGGTCACCTCCCTGGTGGGCTGGGGAACTGAATTCATGCTGTAGTGGCTGGCAATAGCTTGATAGCTCTATCTGTAACCCCTGCGCCACCAGGGAGGCCCCCAGAGACCAACTCTTGAATGACATTTAAGTCCTGACATCTCTGCTCACTACTTATGCTTAAGTTTCTCTTACAACAAATATAACATGTAGAAACTTTTTGTTAGCTAGCTTTTAGGTGATTTTAGGTAGAAATTTCTTTTTCATTTGAAAAATATTTCAGATCAGAACCAGAAGTTTGCTTGTATATCTTGATACATTTGCAGATTTCAAAGTATTATTTTCATTTAAAATAATTTAAAAAATAATTATTTTTTAATTGAGGTAACACTGGCTTACATTATTGTTAGTATTTTGGAAGTATGGGATCCCCCACCTCAAGTATTGCCACCATAGTGTGCCCACAGCGAAATAACCCACAGTCCTCCACCATAGACCATTGTGCTACATTTCCTCTTGTTCTGACCCTTACCCCATCACTCTTGCCTTGGAGGTTCAATTCTGTATTCAGTTTTTATTATCTGTCTTTATCTGGATCCTAGTTACTTTATATTCCATATATTAGTGACACTATCCTGTATTTTTCTTTCTCCTTATTTCACTTAGCATTGCCCCTTCCAGTTTTATTCATATTGCTGCAAACTCATATTGGCATGAGCTTATCTTTTTTTGATTGCTGAGTAATATTCCATTGTTTATATATACCACATCTTGATCTACTCATCCGTTTTGGGGCACTACATTGTTTCCATAATTTTGCTATAGTAAATAATACTATGATAAACATGGAGTGCAAATTTCTTTTGAACTAGTGTTTTTGAATTTTGGGGGTAGTTTCCTAGGAATAGAATTCCTGGGTCAAATGGTAGATCCATTTTTAATATTTTGAGGTGAATTTTAACAATTCACCTCCGTACTGCTTTCCATAAGAGCTGAATCAGTTTGCATTCCCACCAGCAGTGTAGGGGGTCTCCCTTTTCTCTACATGCTCTCCAGCATTTGTTTCTGGTCCTTTCAATGTGGACCATTTCACAGTTGTGAGATGATATTTCACTGTGGTCTTGATTTGCATTTCTCTCTAATAAGTAATGGTGAACATTTTTTCATGTGCTGTTTGCAAGTCTGAATATCTTCTTTGGAAAAGTGTCTCTTTAGTTTTTCTGCTCGTTTTTTGATTGGGTTATTTGTTTTTGTAGAGTTTTATGAGTTCATTTTGCATTTTTGCTATCAGTCCTCTGTCAGATGTATGGTGTGTGTGCACATATATGTGTGTGCACATATTTTCTCCTATTCAGTAGTGTTTCTTTACATTTTAATTATGGTTTCTTTCTCTGTGCAGAAGCTTCTTGGTTTGACATAGTCCCAGTTGTTTATTTTCTCCTTTGGTTTTTTGCTGCTAGAGATGAGTCCTCAAAGAATTTTTTGTTTATGTCAGTGTTTTGCCTAAGTTTTCTTCTATGTGTTTTATGGTGTCAGGTGTTATCATCAGGTATTTTATCAATTTTTGAATTGATATTTTGTGTTTTCCCTCCACCATTTATTAAAGAGGCTTTGTGGAAGTGTATGTATCCTGTGGCAGTGTATGTTCTTGGTCCTGTTGCCATAGATTTACCATCTATATAAGTGTGGGTTTATTTCTGGGTTCACAAATTCTATTGCGTTTTTCTGTGTGTGTGTTTTTGTTCCAGGTTTGTAATATAATTTGAAGTCCAGATGTGTGATACTTCTATTCCCTTTCTTTTTTGTCAGAATTGCTATGAATTTCAGTAGTGTTTACCCCAGTTCTTTGAAGAATGCCATTGATGTTTTAATTAGGATTGCATTGACTATAGAGGTTCTTCTTATGGTTTTACAATTTTAATGAATAAACTTGAGGACTGACTTTGCATAAAACTAACATGCAATGTTATTTTTTTAAGATTTATTTATTTATGCACACAAGGGCTAGGGTACAGACCAGAGGGTGTGTGGGGAGGGGTGAGAGGATTCACCAGAGACAGAGTGGGGAACAGAACAGGCAGGTTGACTGAAATACACTGCTGAGGGGAGCAGCGGGTGAAAAAGGAGAGGTCTGCTGTGCCATGTGGGTTGCTTCCTGTTCAGCCAGGGGATGGAACTCATGCTGCAGTGGCTGTGGACACCTTTATAGGTTGTGTCTTAAGCCCTTATGCCACCAGGGAGGCCCAGCAATGTTATTTTGATAGTAGAGAAATTGTGCTAATTGCTCAGTTGTTTTATTGACTATAAAATGATATTTCTTTCATTTAAAAATCACTCTTTCAAAAACTAGATCAATGTCTCATGGAATCCTCCCTGAACAGAAGAAATATTTGCTTAAACTTCCATTATATGAACGTCTGTATCGATGCCCCAGCCTACCTAAGAAATTAGATTTTGACAAATTTGTTGAAAGCATGGGAGGAAATAAAGAAGATACTGACCTTAGGACATGGGCTCTTGGTTTATTTACTAAATATAAACATCAGAAATCCACCAAAAATAAAGTTGTTAAGATAGCTGTTTCTGGAGGCCAGTCTGAAGAAGTGAAAAAACCAGCAAACCTGAAACTGAGTGATTCTTTGCAGTCTGAACTTCCTCCAGAGGTCCTTCAACATTATATATCCGAAGTGGAGATCTTGACTCAAGAAATAAATAATAAGGAAGTATATCCTGCATTTTCATATTGTAGGCGTGGAGCTATTTATAGGAAACTGGGAATGTTAAAGAGTGCCATGAATGATCTACAAGAAGTAAGTCTTATTTAATCAAAATATTGTTAACAATTTGCATTTGCTTAGAGTAGTAATAATGTAAAAATAATTTTCATGAGAATTTCAAAAATAAGAATTTATAGTATGAATGTGATATGAATCATAATTATTGAAATTTTCAAATAATTAATATTAAAAACACTAGATTTTGTCTGTCAGATTGAAAAGTACTGTTTTCTACTGTGACATTGAAAGTCATGTGGATCAATAGTGTTTGAAAGTTTCTTTGGTGGTATAGTGCCTTTTAATAAAGCAGATTTCACCAAGTTTATGCATATATTTTCCAGGCTATACACTTGGAACCATTGTTTCTCAATGCCTATTGGCACCGACATTTCATTTATCTTTTCCAAGACAAAATTAATGAAGCATTGGATGACCTCAATTATATAAATAAATGTAATAAAAATAATGCAGGTGGGTTGTCTGTATAAACCTGAGCTTTGGTTACTTGGTGGTATTATAAATATACACGAATCAACAGATATGTATCCTAAACTGGTTGTGACTTTCCTAAGTTAAATTTACTCTTGATGTGGAAAGTTTAGGTCTCACAAGCTCCTATATTGTTTTCAAAATACTCATCATGATTTACAATGTTAATGCCTTTGGTATACATTACAATAAACTGGTTCCTTACTGCTCATCCCACATTTGCGGAAGTGATTCACAAATCTTTTCTTGACCACATATTTTTGAATTAAAGTTGTAATGTTCTGAAGACTTCTTGGTTGGAAGAAATCTCTGTTTGCCCTTATGTGCTACCTCCTAACCAACTTGAATGACTGGACATAGTTCTATAATGCTATACTCACTTTAGTATTCCCAGCACCTACAACATATCCCTAGAATATAAGATGAGCTTAAAAATTTCTGATCTTTGCTAAAAGTCTGTAAAATTCTGTGCAGTGTACATCTAACTTTTTACTATGAACCTTAAGATTATGAAACATTTCAGAAATACAAAAAGTTTATAACTTCAAACTGAAATTGGAAATGATACTATCTAATCTTTGAAAACAAAATTTGCATTATTAAAAATAATTCTTTAAATGTTTAAGAAAGTTCAATAGTAAAAGGATTGTAACACTAACTTTTACTGTTTTAATGTTCTTTAGAGGCATATTTGTCAAAGGCAGAAATTTTCAGGAGGAAAAATGAGAATACCTTGGCAATTCTCAACTACACCCAGGCAATTAAGTGTAAGCCAAGCGATGCTGACATATATTTCAGGAGGGGTGAAATGTATGAAATAGAAAACAAGGTACTGGCCATTGATGACTTTTCTAAGGTAAGCTGTATCACATCTAGCTGCCATTTATATATTTTAGATAATGATAGTCTTATCTAAATATAGTATATTGTTGAATTTCTTTTATATGTGGTACATAATAAAAATGAATTTATTATAGATTAGGACCTAAAACATTCATACTGGAATTGATATTAATACTACATCAAAGATCCTTTACATTATTAGCGAATGAATGGATTTACATCAAAGAGTTGGATGTGGGAGTGTTGAGACAACTCTGAAGGTGCTTAACTTTTCCAGTTCTTTCCTCTTAAATTGTGAAATAGTTGTTAAAAACCTTTGAAAATTGCTTTTTCCTTTTGAACAATAGAGAAAATCACTTTCCATTTCTTAACTCTAGAGACACAATCAGCTATCTTCTGCAGCAAACTTTCTTGCTCTCAAAGAAGCAGTGCCCACTGGCTCATTCATTCATTCACTCATAAATATTTATTGACTATAGTGCACTATAAGGCAATAGTGCAATATAGTGTCTGAATCTGGTGAAAAAAATACAAAAAAACAGATATATATCTGGCTTGTACAGAGTCTATCGGCTAAAGAACAGATATCAAAGAAATAAATACAAACATAAATTATAGTTACAAATCATATTTAAGTGCTATGATGGAAATAAGGAGGGTGGGGCTAATTCATATTTGACTTGGGGATATCAGCAACTTCCCTGAAGAAAATGAACTTTTTCATGATCTGTACTTGGAGGCAAGACTCAGGTAAAGTAGTCCCCTGATTGCAGCAGAATTATAACCTGGATCTCCTGACTATGAACTCTTATTCGTAATACTTTAAGAAGTTACTCAAATAATTAGTCATCCATGTTTCCAACTGCCCAGTTTCTTAATCCATGATGGCTAGCTACACATTTGACATTCTTTTGTCTTAGAAGACTATTTTAAGTTTTGGAAACTTATGATTTTGAGGTGACCAAATGTCTCCTTTGAAGACATTGAAATTATTATTAGATTGTGTATTCTGTTCATTTCTTCCATCTGGCACCAATTTAAAAAGGCTTCAAAATCTTGGTTTTTCCCCATGGTTTTAAAAATACTTGCTAATCTGTTTCAATTTTTCCCCCACTATCAAAAGATGAGGAGATTTACAATTTAGGATGCAATGATTGTCTGTTCACACTGTTGCCTTGTATGTTGATGTTGAATAAATGAACCGTGACTACACCAATTCATTACTTTTTCACCATTTTACGGACTGGGTTAATCCTTATTTATTACGATTGAATCATCCTTGATATGGTGATATATGTATCATCTTGATTGTGATAAAATGCTATATGCTGTTGGATAGATCCAATAAAGCCCCACTCTATTTGAATAGTTTACTTCTGAAGTTCTACCAGTGAAAATTTTAGTGTGCAAAGTCCTGGGCTTCATGTATATGCTGTTTTTTCCTTCCCTCTCTGTGGATTTCCTAAAGACATGATCTTTAAATAATGAAAGTTTTGGCATCTTAGTTTTATATAATCTGAAGTAAAAAATGTGGTTGAAGTCCATTTAATTTGCTATGTGATTATTTTTCTTTCTTCCTTTTCTCATTATGTGATATATTTGTGTGCCTCTCCTCCACTCACCTTCCTTTTAGTGTATTTTTTATGATCCCCAAAGAACAGATGCATTATTGAAACGTGGGATATTTTACTATGAAAATGAAAACTGGATTCCAGCCATACAAGACTTTACAGCATTGTTAAGGATAAATCCACAAAATTCTCAAGCAAGGTGAGAATTATTTTAGATGTAAATTATTTTTTAAAATACATTCTCAGTAAACAACATTGCTTGAAATATATCAAATAGCCCTTTAAAGTTAGTGAATTAATTTTCAGTGCTACTAGTGAATGAAAATCTTTACTTATACTTCAGCAGTAGTGGATGTCCATAAAGGGACATTTAGGGTGGTTTCATTTGCATTTCCTATATACTTGCTGTATTATCACTTTCAATATTATTGGTCCAAAATCCCTATGGAATGAGCGAGCTGATTGCTTGTGTGATTGCATGTGGGATGACAGTAGTGTCTCAGCATGGCAGACCAACTGGCTGAAGAGTGTATTGCAGAGTTCAAAGAAGCTTTTTCACCATTTCTGAGTGGTGATGGAACTGTAACAGCAGAGGAATTGGGAACTGTAATGAGCTAGTCACTTGAGCAGAATCTCACAGAAACAAAGTTACAGGGACATGATTAATGAAGTAGTGCTGATGGAATGTCACAACTGACTTCCTGGAATTTCTGCCAATGATAACAAGAAAAATGAAAGATACAGACAGTGAAGAAGAAATTAGAGAAGTGTTCTGTGTGTTTGATAAGGATGGCAATGCCTATATTAGTGCAGCAGAACTTCGCCATGTGATGACAAAAGTTGGGGAGAAGTTAACAGATGAAGAAGTTGATAAAATGATCAGGGAAGCTGATAATGATGGTGATGGTCAAGTAAACTATGCGGAGTGTACAAATGATGACAGCAAAGTAAAAACATGGTACAGAATAGGTTAAATTTCTTGTACAAAATGGTTCATTGGCACTTTCTTTGTAACTTATTTGTAAAAGGCTCCCCTTGCCTATTCATACATACACATGTATAGCAATTAGCACTTCATTGCTCTGTTTTCTTCCCTTATCTTTTTTTTCACATTTTAAAAGGATAGGTTTATTAGGAAGGGAGAAAGGAAAAAAGAAATACCTGCATAGTCACAGGCAGGCAGGGAGGAGAGCTGCATTTCTTCCTTTATGTTACTATCACTGTCCTGAAATCTTTTTCTAGAAAATTGATCAAGTAACTTGTTGCATGTGGCTTATCGAATCCCTTTATATCATTACTTAGCTTTCAGGTTTATAACACTGTAAATCAACATTGGTATATACTACACTATGCTTGTCACCAAAATTCTGGCTTCCATCCTTTGGATTTATCTGAACCCTTCTGTGTATCTAAACTTAGATGGAGTAGATCAAATAAGGAAACACCTGGCGTAAGCCTTCTTTAAAAGGCGTTTTCTTTAGCAACTCTCAGTATTTTGTTGCTGAAGTGTGGAATTGTAACTGTGTGGACTATGAAGAGCCAACAATATGTTCTTCAAGGTTGCCCTAATGCAGAATGGGTATATTATTCATATACTGGTACACTCGTAGTGCTGGTCAGGTACCTGAAACATTTTCTTTTTTCTTTTTTTTTAAGATTTATTTATTTATACAAGAACTGAGGTACAATCAGAGGTGCAGGAGGGTGAGAGAATTCACCAGAAACAGAGTGGGGAGCAGAACAGTCAGATGGACCAAAGACACTGCTGAGGGGAGCAGTGGTGAGGCAGGAGAGGTCTGCTGTGCCATGTGGGTTTCTCCCTGGCTGGCTGGGAATCGAACCCTCACTGTAGAGGCTGTGGACAGCTTCACAGCATAGCATTCAACCCACTACGCCACCAGGGAGGCCCGGAAACATTTTCTTTTATTGTTACTTTTAAAACTTTGTTTTAGCCACTGAAAGAAAATCTGCTTATGGCACAATTTGCTTCAAATCCATTCCAAGTTGTATATTTCTTTTCCAATAAAAAATTACAATTTATCTCCTAAAGTACTGGCCTACATATTTTAATTTCTCTTTTATATTCTTTGTATTCATTGAATACAAAGATTGTTCATGTATATTTTTGTAATATCTTATTGTAACTTGGATATTAAACTTTGTTCTTCCAACCTTCTTGTGCATAATGCTGTTCTCATTTTATTGCTTTTCTCTTAGTCTAAGTTTTGTTTTGAAGAGGTTTAAAAAGTGTATATAGTTATACCTGCTTATCTTTCACTCCCAATTTTTAATATTAAAAATTTTATAATAAAATAAAGCATGCATCCTGAAACGTGCTTGAAATTTCACAGTCAAAGCTTATTATTTAAATTTTATTGAAGAAGCATTAGTTTATAATATTACATAGCTTTCAGGTTTATAACAATGTAAATCAACATCAGTATATACTAAACTATGCTTTTCACCAGGTGTTTCCTCATTTGATCTACTCCATCTAAGTTCGCTTACTCTGTATAGGCTTTTATTCTAATCTATGCTTTTTGATTATAGCACTATGTAGTATAGTTTGAAGTCAGAAAGTATGATAACTTTTTCTTCTTTTTCTCAGGATTGTTTTGGGTATTTTGGTATTCTTTTTAAGTTCCAAAATTATTTTTGTTCTATTTCGTGAAGAATGTCATTGGGATATTGTTATCCTGTATTATTTGTTGAATAACCATTTCACCAATGATTTTACGTGCTAATTTCTCATTAGCTGCATACATTATGATGACATATTTTTCTTTTTCATTTATTTGTTTTCCTTTACTTATATATCATTTTAAGGATTATTTAGGGTATGTTCTTTCATTGCTCTTTTTGTCTATATTTCCTTTTCTTGCTTGCCTTTTATCCCTTCTGGGATAAATTTTGCAATCACTTTTTAAAAAGATTTTAAAATGTTTAGAGTATTTCAGAGAAATATTTATAAATCTGCAATAAACTTCAGTAGTATTTTCACTTAGGTCCTGTACGTTTTAGGAATAGTTCTAGTTTTTAAAAGTTTTTTTTCTTTAATGAATGAATTTTTTTCATGACATTTTAAAAGGACTTATTCTTAGAAATTAGGAGAGCAAGTTTTTTTTTTGAATGTTGAGTTAAATACCATTGACCACCATAAACAATTCCAGTATTTGGTATTGAAATATTTCTTGGCTGATACTAGTAGATTTTCTATGTGGACAAGCCCATTATATTTAAGTCATTTAATTTTGTCTCTGAAATTTCAAAATTCTTTTTTTAGATAAAATTCATCCAAATGAATGGTTGTTGGATTTTTGTCAAATGCATTTTATTTATCTAGGTTTAGGGTATTTTATTTCCCCAAAGGAGACATCCTATCCATAACATTGTTAAGTTTTCCCCTAGTTATTGGTCTAAATTGTCTACATCTTCTTTAGTTAGAGGACTATTACTTGCAGGATGGCATCAAAATAATTGGAGAAGGACAAGATGGCTAATTCAATATTACAAGATGGTGTTATCTTGTGGTGGGCCTTCTACGTCATTTTAAGGAATTTAACCTTATCGCATTGTCAGTGGTGAGCTGTTGAAAGTTTTTGGAAAGGGAAATCTTTATTTGATAATAAAGGAATGGTGTAAAATAGTAGCAAGGTGTGAGATGATGAGGGTTTGAAGTATTGAGGCAGTGGAAGTGAAAGAAGAAACAGATACAAAAAGTTAGTGCTTTTGAAGAACTGACATGACTTATGCCATATTACAAAAAATACTATTAAACATTTATTTGGTAAAGTGTTAAGTTTGGAATAATATATATGCTGAAAAATAGTAAGATTCTTTATCATAAATTATTAAAATATCCTTGTATTCATCAGAAAATAAGTGACATTTCTTCAATATGGGATAAATACTATATGGTGGGCTTTAGGCTCCAAAATACAATATGGTGGGTTTTAGGATGTTTAGTACTTTTGAGAGTTGTTACCAGTCTGCAAACACACTGACTGCATTTCCTCCCCACCCCCCAAATTTCCAGTGCTTGAATCACAAGTTTCTTCAACATTTATTTATCCTCCCTGGATTTATTTTAACTTCTTTAGAGCAGGCAGCCTACTACCTTCTTCAGCCTGTTTTTCCTTAATTGTCTTCTTTGTTTCTAAAAGCTGATTTGCTTTACACTATCAACGAATAAGGAGATTTTCTGGAATTGATAAGTCAATGATAATTTAAAATCTGAAGTCAGAAGTTAATGGAGATAAAACCTGATTCATACGACTGACACAATACTTTTCAAGCACACTAGAGCAGTTTCCCATTTTTTTTTATTGTATCTTCAGTGCCAGAGAAAACCCCAATAACTCTACTCACTGGGGTGCCTCTCCTTCAAAGTGGGTTATTTTGTTTATTTAGGAAACAATCTTGATTTTTAGAAATATGATAGAGCTTAACATTTTGGATATTTGATAAATAATAAAAATAAAACTCATTTGTATTAGTGATACACCTCTCTAATAAGTATAAGAAATGCAGTAAAATTAGAAAATATATAACTAATAAGCATTTAATTTTATATACTTTATAAAGTACATTTGATTTATTTATGAAATGCTCATATCCTCTTTGCTATTAATACCATGACTAAATCACCTGGGAAATAAGCAGGAATAATCACAAATTGTTATTCACATATAGAATTTGTTGTATAGGTTTGCTGAAGAGGAAAAAATATATGCTTTGCAATACATGTTAAAATTATTTTTTTCTCTTTTTCTAGGACATACCGGGGTAGAGCATATTGTAAACGGCATTTTTATAAACTAGCAGCTCAAGATTTTTCGTTTGCAATTCACTTCGATCCTAATAACTGGTTAGCATTGTATTATAGGGCCTGCTTATTTAGAAAGAGTAACCCTTTTAGAGCGCTACAGGATTATAGTGTTTCAGGTACTTTTCCTTCAACTGCACATATGGGGAATTTGATGAGTTTCTTGACCAACTTACTTTCATGGAGTGGAACACTAATGTGGGATAAATATTGTAATGTATATATCATATGACAATTATATCAATATCTTTAGTATATATGCTCATATATGCTTATAAGCAACAATGGTTTAGCTAAGGTATTTCTAACATTCTCTTTTAGGATATGTGTGTATATTTTTACACCTATGTGTAACTATGGCAATGGAAGAATATCATATTAAACATTTTTCTATAACTGAGTTCTGAGGATGCTTCTGGAGATCCAGCTCTATTTCTTAGTCAGCCTTCTAAAATAGCAGTAAATTTTTCAGTGGACCCAGCCCACATGGATTAGTCAAATTCAGCTTTTTTAAAGTTTTTTTCTAGATAATTTTTCCCTTGCATCATTGTTAATTTTCAAAAGTAATTTAGTTTTCCCCCTCAAGATATGTTTTAATTTGTATAATGTTAAAAAAAGCAATGAGAAGTTATGTATATATACTAACATAAAACTTAGACATAAGAACCTACATAAAATATCTCATGTATTTTTTTTTCTTTTTAAGTTCTCTTAAATGATGGTTATGAGAATGTTTCTTCTTTTCTACATCGGGGCATATTATATACAGATCTAAAACTTTGGATGCTGGCAATTTGCGACTTTGAAACTGTTATTTCTCTAGAAAGGTATGTTTACCTTTTCAAACTTATTGATTTCACTTTTATATGAATTAAGAAAATCAAAATGAAAGAAAATTCTTTCCCCCATTATTAATTACCTTGTAGAAAATCAAACAGTTGTAACCTCATTCAAGATTAGAATACTACTTCTACAAATAAGATAACTTCTAAAATAAGACCTGTTGTCAACATTGATAAGCTTCAGATACTTTGTAAATTTTAGAGGTTGGCATGTTTTAAGAAGAGTTAAATCCATGGTTAGCAAAATCCCCAAGTTTTTAGGAGCTGCCGAGGGATGCCAGGGTTAGATCTTTATGGGGTTAACTTTATGAAAAACTGTCATCGTATTAAAATGATGCCAAATATTCTGCTTTATATATCATTTTGATATATAACATATAACTCAACAGGAGGAAACTTTCTAAAACTATTTAGAAAGGCAAAAGAATAAAGCCAATGCCATTTGGAACATATGTCCAAGAAAAAGCACAAGTTAAAATTACATACATTATTCAGAAATCCTAGCTGGAAAAAGAATTTAATTACACAGTTTTCCTTTTTTCCAATGAAGCATTCATTAAAATGGATGGTGTCAGAAAGAATGACAAATTGTGTCAATTCCGCACCAAATAGCAGGCTGTTTGCTTAGCTTATCCAAGGTAAACCTTGCCTCAGGAACGTACTAGAGCATCACTCCAATGTGGTTGCAGTGGTTTACTTTGGGAAAATTTTGAGCCAGGAAGGAAAAGAGAAGAGTTTCAGTTGGTATAAATAGGCAAAAAATGGGCAGTAGGAATTTTCATTTCTTTTTGGCAAAGGATAAGTGGTTCTGTGAAGCAAGGCTGTAGGATCTGTAGTTTATTTTGAAATAGAGGCATTGACCAAGGTAATTTCTAAGGTAAATCCTGTATTAAAAATTGATTCTCAGAGAAAGACATTTATTTTGCTTTGGCGATACATTAAAAAAAAGCTTAGTATATATTGATCTATGTATTTCATTAGATTCATAATTGGTGAACATTTGTAATAATTAAAATTCTAACAAGGCTTTACTTTCTCATATTTTTAGAACAATTATTTTGGCGTATATCAATATTGGTCTCATAAATATGTTATACCTGGATAACTATGTTGAAGCCATTTTTCAGTTTTCCACAGCTATTAGACTTGATCCTTTATATATGCAGAGCTATATTTGTCGAGCAGAATCTTATTATAAGGTATAAAGGTTTGATAACTTTGATTTTAAAAAATTTAATTTTTAGATATTTGCTAATTATAATTTAAAATTTATTAACATATTCTTGTAAAGCTTGTTGCAGAGGCTAGTGTATTCATAAACATTTAATACTAAAGTATCTTTAGCTAACTGTAGATATCCACTTACTAAATCTCTTTTGATGAAGTATGAATTTTTGCTTATAATTTTCTTTCTTTAAAATAGTATCTGTTCTGTCCTTATTACAATAGGACATATATAGTTGTTGCATGTTATATGTATGTGAGAATAAGTTTAAAATCATCCACAATTTCATTTTCTAGAGATAACTACTTTAACATTTAGAGTCTTTTGGTTGTGTGTGTGTGTGTGTGTGTGTGTGTTTGTCAATGAGTGAGTAGGTTTGCAGAATAATTTTTATGCATAGAATGGGAGTCTACTAATTCATTAATTCATATTATTCCTTAAATTTTACAAAAATTATTTAAATTAAAATATATAGTATATCCTTAGTGTAACAAATTCCAGCAATGCACTAACAGTAAAAGTAGTCCCTGAGTCTTAGCATATGTTACTTTCCAAACCACAGCTAACTTTGCAAAGATAAACACTATTAACTTGTCTCTGTCTTTCAAAGAGATAGCTCTTTCCACTAATCCACTGCTGACTGGCCTGTCTGAGACACTATCATGTCTCACCATGATTTTTCAGTAGCCTCCTGGTCTTCTTGCTTTTTTGTCCTTTACCCCTTTATGTTGGATTTTCAACACAACAGTCTTAGTAATTCTGTCAAAACATAAGTCAGATTATATTACTTCTTTGCCACAAGTCCTTCAATACCTTCCATTTACCACAAGAATAAAAACTAAATCTTGCAAAAGCCAAAGGCCTACAGGAGCCTATATGAATCAGTTCCTCATTAATTTTCTGCCTTCATCTCCTGTAAATCCTCTAATCACAAAGGTTTCAATAAGGATAAGATTGGTTAGACTGTGGAAAACAATGAACAAACCTCTCAAATCACAATATTAAAAGGCTTATTTCTTGCCCACACTGCGTGTCCATTGAGAGTTGGCTAGAAATTCTGTTCTTCATCGTCTGCTTCTCAGGACCCAGTGTGACTACAGTCCCATTCAAGGTCCTTACCTTCCTGATGATGAGGTCGAAGACTCAGGCAGGTTTATGATTGTTCCCAGGGAATGTTTGCTCTGACCTCTGTTGGTGAAGGTATGGACATACTTGTGGTATGTGGAGGTTTTGTTTATTTCTCTGTTGATGGAGCTGAGGCCTTCTGAGGGAAGTGGCAATGTCCTCTGAGTATACTTAGAAGGCAAAGCACCAATGTAATATCAGAGTATAAGAACATATATTCAAAGGCTTATCATTCTAGAGATTCTAAAAATCTCTACACAGTAATGGTTGAATAAATTGTGTTATATTCACACCACGGAATATTACATAGAATAGTTATATAGAATAATTATACCAGATGACTGGTATAATTGTTGAGTAAGAAAGGCAAGTTTCAGAAGAGCATGAAATGTGTACAATATGATCCCATGTAAATAAAACAATTACAAATCAAACACTATGTATGTACATATCTATGTGTGTATGTATGTAGAAGAACACATATGCTTCTGTGTGGAATCAGGCTCCAGGGTGACTCCAGTACAAGAGTGCCTGGAGAAGTCTACCCCCAGGGCTGCCTGTGAAGATCTGATCAGGGTTTCCTCGATGCATTGATTGTTGGAGCAGGTGGAGCAGGGCAGACATAGAACTTGAGAGCTTATTAATGACACCAACCTGAGAAGCAGCAGGCTTGAGAAGCAGAGGCTGGAAGTTCTATAGAAATACTCAACTTTATTTAAGCACTCCTTAAATTCTTTCCTTTTGGTTCCTTCTTTTTCTACCTCAAATTTTATTACTTGGCAGTCATTTACATAACCATAATTTTGAGGGTACATATTCCCACCAACATATGTGCACATGCTTCAATCCTCTTCTACCAGAACTCCTGTTTTGATGTTATTCACTATGTCTCCCAGTTTGGACCATGTTCACGTACACTGCCCACTTGCATGGGCAAATTTTGTACATTTCATTACATCATCATGCTATCATGGTAAGAGGTGTGGTTGATTGTCCCAGGTTCATTTTGCTGGGGTCTCTATGTATAGTCCTCCTTTTGTACTAGTCCCAATAATAGTAAGTTTTTAATAATAAGTTTTTGTTCCCCTACTTGTGCAAATCCAGACTATGCTTCTGTGACCATTGTTAAGGAAAGATTAAATGTTTGATTTTTAGTGTATGCAAATGTTAAACAGATATTTTTCATCATTCTTAAAAGCAACTTTTTTTAAATATTTATTTTTTATGCATACAAGAGCTGGGGTACTGGCCAGCAACGGGGGGTAAGAGGATTCATCAGAGACAGTGGAGAACAGAACAGATAGACTGACTGAAACACACTGCTGAGGGGAGCAGCAGGCGAGACAGGAGAGATCTGCTTCACCATATGGGTTGCTCCCTGTCTGGCCCACGATCGAACTCATACTGCAGAAGCTGTGGATTGCTTCATAGTACGGTGCTTAACCCCTTACGCCACCAGGGAGGCCCTTTTTCATCATTCTTGAATTTTGTTTCATTACTTCATTTGCCTATCAATTTAAGTGCAAGCTCACTTTTCTTTCCTTATTTTAAAGTGAAATTGACTTTTACTTTTTACTTTACCCTTCTTTACAAGCTAGTTTATTAATATAGGTGAAGTCTGGTGAAAAAGATGTCAGAGTTGAGTTAACAAAAAAGGAAAACAAATGAGAGCATATATTTGTGGGTAAAATTGAAGATAAATGGTTTTAAAAACCACAAAGAATTGGAATCATAGACTTTCAAAAAATCTCCTTTATATATCCCAGTTGCATTGATTATTCTTAGGAAATAACATGTATATTAGGAGATGTTACTGCATAACTTCAGTGTTGAAGGATGGGAGGGGATAAACATCAGAAATAAATCAATTAGGATTCTTATGAATTAAATATCTGTCTATTACTCAACAGTTACATAGGCTAAAACAGGCAGTAAGGGAGTTATCTCGGGCCATCCACCTTCAACCAGATGGAATCCAATTATACATATTAAGGTAAGAGCCTAGAAATAGAATTCTTCTTGGGCTAACTTGGCATCTGAGCTAGTTGTTGGGATCTTTAGTGTACTCTTGCTCATTCCAGCCTCCATTTTTTATGTTTAATTTCCCAACAATGGACTTACTCTTCAACCAGTAAGTCATCAATTTTTGTTAAACTTTAAGGTGATTTTTAACGTAGGATAGCCAGATCTTTCCCTTTACTGTAACCTTGCGTCAAAGCACAACTGTTTAGTATTTGCATTCTTTGAAGCCTCTCTAAGTTACAAGGTTTATAGTTATCACATATCTTATAAAAGTAAGATAACACATTTGAACAGCTGTTTGTGTCTGTAGAGTTACCAAACATAAGTCTCAAAAATTCAGTAAAAAAGACACATATTTTTGGAAACTGTATTTCAAATTTAGTAGAGCTCACAATTAAGTGACCTATTGTAAGTTATTACGAGTTATCACTACCAAAAATGTTATAATCTCTAATATGGGTAATGAACTATAAAGACATAGAAAACTGGACTGGAACAATGCTGGTGATAAAGGCTTTATCTTTTGACTCTTGAACCACATGTCAGTAATTTATGTAAATATTTTCCCCTGTTATGTCCCTGAGCTCTATTTTTGAATAATTTCTTAGTAACAGAGTACAAGATTTCAATTGAAGGTAACTGCAAAAAAATTTCAGTACTTTCAGGTTTACATTTTGTAAATCACATATTGCATTACACATCCATACTAATTTCTCTATTAAAATTACATAAAATGTGTATAATTTTCTCATTAATTTGTCATAATTAATTTTCACATTAATTTAATTAATTTTTCATAATTTATCAGAATTAATTTTCACATTAATTAAATTAATTCTCATAATTTATCATAATTAATTTTCACATTAATTTTTCATGATTAATTTTCACATTAATTTATCATACATATGTAAGTACATGTGAATATAGTATAATTGTAAAGTTTTAAGTAATTGGATATAAGAAACTTCATTTTTAACTGCTTAGACTCAATAAGATATTATTTCTTCTAGAGGACAATATCTTCTTATGATGAAAAGGTACGATCTTGCAAAGTTCACTATTTATCAAGTAGCAGCAATGAACAAAGGTAAATGTATTTAATGAGAAATTATAATAGTCTTCATTTAAAAGAAATCTCTTTAGAATTTGTATGCTATTTGTAATAGCTATGTATAGAGAGCATGAGTGTTCACTTGAAAGTCAGTTTGATTTGGTAACACTTCATTTTCACACGTACATAATCAATTAGTAGCATACTTATTAACAATGAATTTTGTGAGAGATTATTATAGAAAATATCAAGCTTATACTTTTATTTATTCATTTTCTGCTTGTAATTAGAATGTCTTTTTGATTATTAATAGTAAATAGACTTTAGTGTCACAATGTTTTAACTCATATTAAATAGGTTATTGAATTGTTTGACTTCCTGGGAATAGGCACATTCTAGTTCCTGGATATTTGACAAAGATACTGATAAACTTTCCTTTTCCTTTAGATTCCATTGGGTTGAGTCCTATACAGGAATCACTCATTTATTCATTTTGTGAAAAACATGACAAAGCCATTCAGATCTTGGAAGGGGTGATTTTACAAAAGCCGGAGATAACCATGTACACTCTTTTAGCAAAAGCCCAAATGAAGGCCAAGAAAAACAAGGTGAAAAGTCTTGAGTAATGTTTGCTAAATCTATTAGTGGAATTTTCATATTGTGCTTAGAATGGCAGCTTATATATTCTTTTTACAGAACTTAGTCATATCATTTATTTGTTGATTCTTCTGTTAATTAACATTTGGGTGGTTTCTTTTTATTTTTATTTCCTCTTTAAAATAGGGTTTTTATAAGTAGTCTTTTTAATGACTCCTGTAGATATGGGGAGGAGATTTCCAGGATATATTCCTAGGAGCAGAATTGGTGGCATGTGAATGTTTAGCTTCCAAGAAAATGACACATTAAGTTATGCCAATTTTTTCTCCCTCCTGCAGTATATGTGTGATCCTGTTGACCTGCTTTTTCTGTTTAGTCATTGTTGGATAAAAGCTGATGTCCCATTATGTTCTTAATTCATGTTTCTAGTTTGAGCACAGGTTAAGCATTTCTGTACATATATATATATATATTTTAAAGATTTATTTATTTATGCTTAACAAGAACTGGGGTACAAAGGGGTGAGGGGTGAGAGAGTGGGAGACACAGTGGGAGACAGAGACAGAGTGGGAGCAGGACAGGCGGATCTACTGAATTATACCGCTGAGGGGACCATCTGGGTAGACAGGAGAGGTCTGCTATGCCATGTGGTTTGCTCCCAGGATGGCTGGGGATCTAACTCATGCTGCAATGGCTGCTGATAGCTTGATAGTGCTGTATTTAACCCCTGAGCCATATTTACAGAGGGAGGCCCTCTGTATATTTTTGTTTAGCCACTCATGCTTCCTGTTCTATCAATCTCCTGTACACATTTTTTGTTTGCTTGTCTTACTCATCAATTTCAGAAAATTAAAAAACAAATTTCATATATTAATCTCCACCTATCTTCTTGTTATTTGTAGCTGGTCTTGTAATTTACTTTATTATCTTTTAATGAACAGAGGTTCTTAGTTTTCCTGAAGTTGAAAATATTTTTTTTGTTATAGATTACATAAAAATTCTTATTTAAGAATTCATTCCCTATTCTGCTTTCAAAGGATGGTTTTAATGTTTGTCTTTGTCTAAACCTTGATTTTGCTTCTCTATATTCCACATCTAAGTGATGCCATCCAGGTGTTTATATTTTTCTTTCTGACTTATTTCACTGAGTATTATCCCTTCCAGCTCCATCAATGTTGATTCAAATGGTGTGTTTATCTTTTGTGATCGTTGATTAGTATCCCATTGTGTATATATACAACACCTTCTCGATTGATAAAAAATTTTATTAAAAAAAAGTCCTTCTGTAAGACAAGGTCATAAAAATATTCTCCCATATATTCCTCTCAAAGTTTAAAAGATTTTTCCCCCCATTTATGGCCTTAATTTGATTCTATCTTAATTTGATTCTCTGGGGATTTGCAATAAGATAAAACAATGACTATCCAAAGGCTCTAGCATCATCTATTAAAATGTTTTCTTTAACCCAATGATCTGAAGTATTACATTTATCATATGTGTTTTCATGTACATGTAGATTTGATATTTGGTTTTCTATTCTCTGCTTGTCAGTGTTTCTCTCCCTGGCCCAATAGTACAGTGTCTTTATTACATAGCTGTAGTAATCCTTGTTGTCTAGTAGAACATGTCCCTACTACATTCTTCTCCAGGACTCTTCCATATACAATTGATCAAGTTCCACTGAAAAATCCTGTTGGAATTTTACTTGAAATGTATTGAATCCCTAGGTTATTTTAGGCAGAATTGATACTTTTATGATACTGAATTCTTTTTGGAAACTTTCATATTTAAATTGACTCTCCTCTGCCATATTTGTTCTGCTAGAAACCTGGGGGTTACTTTTGATTTTCCTCTTCCACCCAATTTGTGGTGATCTTTTGGTTCTGCTTCCTACATCTCTCTCAACTCCTCTCCCTTTCTCTATTTCCACAGTCACTATCCTAGTCCAGAAAACATTTTTATTTTGCTTGAATTATAGCAAGAATGTTGCACTTTCCCAAGCCTTTATCCACCAAGCAGCCACAGTACTGTTTTCAGAATGTGAAAATGCCTTACCTGCAAATCCCTCCTGAGCTTCCTAAGGAGATTTTTCAGAGTAGCAAAGGAGTGACAGTTTAGGACATCAGCGAGAGGAGGAAGTGAAGATGCATTTATTTTAACTTAAGTGGGATGAAAGACTCTTTATCGGTTCAAGAAGACATTGGTGGGTCAGAGATCCAAAAGAGGAAGGAAATAGTGCAGGTGGGACAGAAGGAGATAGAATTGAGAACACAACTTGCGGAGTTCACTCTGAAAAGCAGAAGAAAAGAAACCACTCAAACACTGGAAGGGAAAATACGAAAGATGTAGATACATTGAAAAGTAAACAGGAGGGAAATGGAGTTCATGTGCTGAGTGAGGATGGAAGGTTAGATATTGAGTGAGCTATAAACATGTGGAGAATAGCTAAGGGTGGGTACACACTTAGCATACTCAAGTTAAATCTCATTTTTTCTTCAGCAATTTAATATAATTTAGAAAATGGCTAAACAGTCGCAATTATTTGTATAAGCTATACAGATATATACATACAGATATATAAATGTAAAATGTACATTTATGTAGGTGTACATATGTATATATGTTACATTGATTAGTTAATTTTGAAGAGGTATTTCCATTGGAAAATAGATTTTTTTCTCATTAGTGAGTTTCAGCTATCTTGACTAGATAATTTAAATGGGTTATTTTCATGTTAGTTTTCTTTTCTGGTGCCAGTGGAACCCCCTCTAGCTCACAGCAGGACAGTTAAAACCTCATTGGATATTATTACTATAGATCTTTTATACCCTAACAGCTGCCCAATATTCCCTTCAGGAAAATTGCTAAGAAATTGGCCATAAACTTGTCCATAAGTTTAAGTCTGATTCAAGAGTATAAGAGCATAATTTTTATTTTTATTGAAATAACATTGCCTTATAACATATACCTTTCAGGTATTCATTGTTGAGAATCAGCATTGCATATGCTGTTAAGCTCATGATAAAATTTCTAAATTATTCTTCACCATACTACACCATACCATACCATACCATGCCATACCTCGCTTTCCTTTTATTCCAATTTATGCACACTTCTTCTCCCTTCCCTTTTGGTCACCACTAATTTGTGTTTTAATTAGTTCACCTGTTTGTTTTTTTCTATATTACACATGATTAAAATCACATGTGTTGTCCTTCTCTGTCTACATTTACCAAAATAAGCCAGATGGAAAATAACCTTTAGATGTTTAGAAATTATAGTTCTAGAAGCCCCCGTTCTTAAATTACACCAGCAAGATCTGTGACTTTTCTGAGCCTGGTGAAGTCTTTTTAGTGTTTAAGGCTGTTGTATTAAATCAATATTAGAAAAGAACATTCACTGCCCCTTATACGTTTATATTTTTATCATTATAGGAAGCTGTGAAAACATTTAAAAAGGCTTTGGAAGTGTTTTCTCATTCCGATAAAGGGCCAAGTGCTGTAGCAGCTTCAGCAGACTGTCTGTATTACCTGGGTCTTTGTTACCTGGAGGATGGCAACACGCAACTGGTATTTTATGTAGTTGGACGTAGGTTATCTGTATTTTAGAAACTGATTGCTTACATTCTGTTCTATTTCTGAAAGCAACCTCCCCAGTGAAGGACTAACCCAAAACATCTCATAAAGCTTAGCTTATCACATTCAGTCTGCACCTGCGATACGTCCACATGGCTTTGTTTGATCAGCACATTTCATGTGATGCTTGTCAACAAAGACTAAAGCTTAATTTGTATTTCCCATCAAAACTGTAAATTTTCAGCTGCAAGAACTTATTATTGGAACATAATTTCATTGCATTACTATGAATTTATTTGCTGAATTGCAAGTATTTAAATTGTGTATGTCAGTATAAGATAGATTAAATGGGAAATGATAAGGACATTCTCGCTTTGCTTATTGGCAAGTGAAAAATTCAATCAGATTGAAACTGACTATTAAGATGGCCAGATTAATTGAAAGTCTGTTGATTCAATTATTGTCTATACAGTCTTTCACTATTTTCTTTAATTCTTCATTCAAAACTATTAATGATATGAGGAATATGTAAAATAATTGATAATTTCCAATGACTAATATGGGCTGCTCTACAACTTCATCTTTACACACACACACACACACACACACACACACACGTCATTCTAGAGGAGGATGGTGTCCAAAATTTGTATCAATTTTAAATAAGAGTTGCACTTGATTAGTTGTTCTATTAAGAAATTCCAATAAGTATATGTTTAATTATAATTTTTTTTCATTTTCAGCCCTTTTCAACAAACAGCAAACTCAGCTTTGTTTTGCAAAGTTGACAAGTTTGGAGTTCCATCATACTGAAATTTCATTATGGGCCTAAGGGGACTTGTAAATTATAATACTCTGATTTGCTCAGAAATGTTACTTTTGTTTGCTACACATTTTAATATAGTCACTGGCAGAAATGTATTTAACATAGCAAAAAAGTAGGGTGAAAAACCATTCAACAACAATTACATACTGTGATTTATTAACATTTAAAATTAATGTATTCTACTCACTAAACAATTTGCTTTATATTAATATGCTCTTCCAGGCTTTTGATTCATTTACACAAGCTGTGAAAGCAAATCCTGGATTTGCTGAAGGCTTTTATCAACGTGGGATTTGTAAAGTAAAACTCCAAAAGGATGGCTCAATCCTGGATTTTAATCATGCACTTGCCATTGATCCAAATCATTACCAGGTATTTTTTTTAAAATAAGGTTTTTGATTGAGTTGGTCTTGGAAGGGCATGAAGAGTTGTATTTCAGTAAGTTCCCCAGTGATGCCACTACACACATTTTAAGAATCATAAGTTTAGACCCAGCTCTCATATCTTGAGCACACATTAAGCCTTAGAATGAAACTGTACTCATCGCTAGAGCAGACCAACATTACCAGGTATTTAAATACACAATTTGTGATTTGAAGAGTGTGTTAATTTGTTAAAACTATTGAATCCTGAACATGTCTATTATATTAGCAATTGGTTACTTATACTTACTTTTTAGTTGGATTTTATAATCCATATGTCTGTATATTCCCGTGAATCAAAAATATTATTTCTAACAGGGAAATTATATATATTCACACATACGCTTTTTGAATTCTTATAGATAAATATTGCTAATAGTTTAATGAACCTAATAATTATAATTTCATATACTATATCGTTACTAATTTTATTATTTACTTCTCGTTTTGTTATCACATTGATTTCTGCCTTTTTTTTTTTAAAAAAATTATTTATTTTTATACAAGCACTGGGTACAGTCAGAAGTGCGGGAGGGTGAGTGAATTAACCAGAGCCAGAGCTGGGAACAGAACAGGAAAACTGACGAAATACACTGCTGAGGGTAGCAGCAGGCACAGCAGGAGAGGTCTGCACGCCATGTGGGACCCTCGCCGGTGGCCGGGGATCGAACTGGCGCTACAGAGGCTGCAGGCAGCTTCACAGCCCAGCGCTCAACCACTGCACCACCAGGGGAGGCCCTGATTTCTGCCTTTTAAGAGAACATAGAGACAACACAAGATTCAATAAGTGAGACTTGATTGTATCCTGATTTAAAAAGCATATGAAATCTGAATATAAGCTAAATATTGATGATTTTAAATAAGTACTCTTAATTTTCTTAAGTATATAATGAGAGTGAAGTTATGCTGGAGAATGTCTTTCGGAGGAGATGAATACTGGAAGACTTGGGGTCAAGTACTATGATGTCTGCAAATTATTTTCAAATAGTTGAGAAAAACATATAACAAATATTGTGAAATGTTAATAAATATTGACAAATATTGAATCCAGAAATTGTAGGTAAATCGATGTTTACTGTACTATTCTTTCAATTGTGCTATATGTTTGAAATGTTTTCTAACAAAAGAGACTAGGAAAAAAACTATACCATCTTTGGTTGCACGGATTTATTCAAATGCAATACATAGTGGTAGAATTAATACTTTTACTAAAACATTCATTTCTGTATCCCTCCTCTTTTTCTGAAAAGGCATATTTAAGTCGAGTGGCCTTCTATGGTTTGCAAGGCAGATACTCCAAAGCAATCTTGAATTGTAATGAGGCCATCAAAATTTATCCCCGGAGTGTGCGTGCTTTTATCTACAGAGGAGTTCTGAAGTACTACAACAAGGTAGGGCGATTTCCTGCCATTTTTACTGCAACTTTAGAGTAGGTGGCTGCTTACGTGCCAAGCTGGGGTTCATTTCCTTATTTCCTCTCAGACTTTCCATGGTATGAAGGACAGAAAGACATAGAACACTTATATTTTGACAACACATCAATGGGATATCAATTCATAATTTTTTACAAAGTAGTGGGGTGTTTTTTGACATTTAAATAGCCCCCTCTTATTTTTATTAAAGAAGGAAAATAAAGGAGATAAAAATCACCCATTATCTCATCATCAAATAAGTCCTGAACATTCTATTATATTCACATTTAGTTTTTTTTCTGAATAATTTCTGATGTATACATTTTCTAGAATTGGGATGATGCTACTTACATTAATTGTGTTATGCCCTGCTGCTTATATTAAATCTTTGAAGGTACCATTTTTTTATATTCCCCATACAATTTTTGTATTCCCCATACAATTGTAACCCCCTTATTTTGACCCCAATCCCTCCCCCCCGCCCCCTAACCCCCATAGAGTGTCTCTGGTTCATAGTTTTTTGTTGATTTTGATTTTCATTTTCTTATAGTTATTCATTTTCCTGGTCCCTTATTTAAGTTTTCTAGATTCCTGCTATGAGTGAGACCATCCGATATTTTTCTTTTTCTTTCTGGCTTATTTCGCTGAGCATGATCCCTTCCAGTGCCATCCATGTTGCTACAAATTGCATGTGTTTATCTTTTTTGAATGCTGAGTAATATTCCATGGTATATATGTACCACATCTTCTTGATCCAGTCATCTATTTTTGGGCATTTGGGTTGTTTCCAAAGCTTAGCTATTGTAAATAGTGCTGCTATAAACATAGGGGTGCAGGTGCTCTTTGGAATTGATGTTTCAAAAAACTAGCAACAACAAATGTTGGCGAGGGTGTGGAGAAAAAGGAACTCTTCTGCACTGTTGGTGGGAGTACAAACTGGTCCAACCACTATGGAGAGCTGTGTGGAGATTTCTGGACCTACTAAACATAGAGCTTCCATATGATCCAGCAATTCCACTCCTAGGTATTTACCCAAAGGACAATGAATGTACCATTTTTGATGACTATGTAATACTTTACCTACGTTTATTTTGAATCACTTTATTGTTAGACATTTGGGTTACACAATTTTTTTTTTCTATTTGAAATACTACAGTAGACTCACTGAGAACAAGATCACTGTTCCTGTTGGTGATTGGTTCCTTAATGGAAATGACTGGGTCTAGGAGTGTGAGCATTCTGGACGTCTGATACTTCATGGAACAATTGGTTTCTCTACTTCTTATCTCCCTACTTTCCTGACCTTTCTTTGTAGTTGTTTCATATGAAATATTTTGCAAATAATACTTTAAAGCAAGGTAAGGTCTTGTATTATGTGTTAATTCCATGAAAATTACTATCTACGGAAATGGATGATACAGGTATCAGAGAAACATCATAGAGGGAGCAAAAGAAAACGTGGATAAAAAATATGACGACTATGTGCTATGACAGTGTGTGACAGAAGCAGGCACACTCTGGTGAATGTTTGATGAATGTGGCTTCTTTCTCTTTTACCAATAAGTAGTATAATTTTCTCCTTGGTGTAGAGCAACATTGGCATTAAGATAATTGTCTACATTAGTGTTATTTATATACTGGATTTTATTTGCAGGTGAGAAAAACTGTAATAATATTTCCTACCCAGGGATCTTAATTAACTCTGTAGATTAGCTTGATTGTCTTAATTTCATGGATGATACACAGAGTGGTTAAATGAGTGTTCCAAAAACTGCTTGAACCAAGAATTTAGTTTACAATTAAATTTCCGTCCATTATGATTAACCCTTCTCACTTAATTATTTTTTTCTTTGTAGACTTATAAGCTAGCAATTATAGATCTAACTACAGCTGTCAACATGGACAAGACCAGTTACATAGCATATTATAACAGAGCATTATGTTACACCAAGATAAATGAAATTCAAATGGTAAGATGACCATTTTTAGTAAATAACACATTCAAGTACTTATAAACACATTAAATGCATGCATATTTCCTTATTATTCCTGTTATCACTTTGAAAAATATTTCCCATGGAAATATACCTACAAAGCAGGAGAAACCAACATACCATTTCAAAGAATATTTAATGTCTTTGTTAGTGTTCACCAAGTTTTCTTACATTATCTCCACAATATCAAATGAAAAATTAATTTTGCAAGACTTACATAAGCATTTCAACACATATAAGTTAAAATACGTTATGTAATTTTCATTTGAGCAAATGTTTTTATTGATAAGCAGCAGTACAAAATTTTCAAGCAGTGATCACTGACAATATTATTGCTTCAAAAAGTTACCACTATGAGTTAGAACATGGAGTTTTTTGGTTCAGTTCAGACCACAGGTGCAGTAGACAGTTTTGAGTGCTGGTTCCCAACTCCTGGGGCCAGCAAGGTGGAGGATTGCCTCCGCATTTTGAAAGTTGCAGCACCTTCTTCTAGATTTGTCCTCTTTCAGCTTCTGTTTGGAGAAGTCTGCGTTCATATTTTCTAATATCATCCCTAATTTTTCTCCCTTTTTGTCTAATCTTACCCCTATGTCCTTCCTTTTGTCCATTTGGTCCTTTTCCATTCAAGATGCCTTATTGGGGAGCAGAGAGCTTAGTGTTCTGTCCCATCCTCTTGCTTCTTAACCATGTTTTCCCTCCCATTTATTCTCCCCACTTTCACAGTCAATGAAGCATCCCTTTGAAAGACATCATATTCCTGCTTTTCCAAGCAGATACACTCCCCCATCTCCTTGTAATTTGGACAGTTAAATCTGCTTAAAACATTTAAAAGTGTTTAAATTTATCTGCTATGAAGGGAAGAAGTCAAGAAACATTGTTTCCACCTAACAGCTTCCTGGTAACCACATCGTGCTTTTCTTCCTGATCTATTGACAAATGAATAACTAATTTTTAACAAAGGTGTTGTTAAGATTCTGGGAGCTAATTAAAGGATCATTTATCAGACTAACCTGCACAGCAGGTGTCTTGGACGACTCCCTCTCCAACCCCCATCCTGCCTTTTCTGGGCAACACTAAAACTGAAAACAATGACCTGGGTGGGGGCAGGGAACTCCCATTTTTGTTAGCTCTGATGTGTGACAGAGCCAGTGTGCTCTAATAATAAGAAAAATGAGCAATTACCTAAACAGAGATCCAGTTGATAATAACATATTGACTATTTTAGTGTGGCCACGTAGCCAACACATTTCCTCCAATTGGCTCATTTTACAGATGAGGAAATGGAAGTAGGAGAGGTTAGAAATGCATCCAAGTTACATGGGGAGTAGAGAGCTGTATTGGTGTCATAGGTTTGTTTGCATCCGGTTAACAGTCTTCAGGTGGCTTTGTCAAAGGTCTGAAGTCCAGCATGTGAACCGGATGTCATTTAACAGCACCACCGCCTCCCTTTTTGTCCACCTCCACCTGTTTCACAGCATTCCTGCAATGGCTAGACAGAGGAAACCCAAGTCTTTTTCCATGGAAAGTCCTCTTTAGCATGCTCCCAAGAAATGGTTCCATGAAAGCTAAGCAAAAAATGAATTCTGATTCCTACTACCCTATATTAATAAAAACCTTAACAGTTACCACCTACTTAGGGCTTGTGGTATGATAGGCACTGAGCTAAATGCTTTACCAACAGACAATCAAAATATTTTTAACGGGACATTTATAGCAATAAGATGAGGAAAATGAGGCTTAGTGTTAAGTAATTTTCCCAAGACTGGTAGTTGTAGCAGAGGCATAGCAAAAATCCTGTGCTTTGACCTTCGTGAAATCTCAGCTGTTTAGTGGATCTCTAAGGCATCTGATGAATTTTACATTCTGTGATCTATGAAAGGAAACATTCTAGTTTTTTTTTAAAATAAGAATAATGAATTATTTTTACAGACTCAGCAATGTTTATTTGTAATTATCCCACAATTCCATATACGATCTTTACTTGTACAATTTTTTTAAACACTTAAGAGCACAGTTATGAAACGCTAGACGAGGACCAGTGAGCAAAGAGTACAATACTATTTATTTGCATTTTCAGTTAGCAAATGCTGCGGACATAAATGATTTTGACATTTCTGATCAAATCTTATGGCTCTCTTAGACAACAGGTTAAGTAGAAATGAGTGAAGAGATTCAGTTCCACCCCAAATTTGAGACACTTCTAGGACCTGATTCAGAATAGATGACTAGTAGAAACTTGCTTATTCAGTGAATGAAAAAAAGTAGAGAAAGGTCCTCTGAGTGGATTAATTTTCAGCTTAAACTAATGTCTTAAACTTCTTCTTCCAGTATACCTATTAATTTTTGAAGTATTTTTTCCAATAAGTGTTTTTTTTTTTTGTGAGTTTTATTAAGATCCATTTTCTTTGACTCGTGATTTATTCAGGCAACAAAAATTTATTGAATGCCCATTATGTGCAGTCACAATGCTAGTACTAGATTTCCATTGGTGAGCAAAATGGGTAAGCTCTGCCTTCATAAACCTTAGGCCTCAGTGAGGAAAACAACAAAACAATAAAAAGAAGTTAAATCTCAAAAGGTAACAAGTGCCTCTCTTTAATAACAAAATTTATTCAGGGAAACTACTGAGTGGGGCAAGGGAGTTTCACCTTCCTTCCGACCTATTTACAACAAAAGTGCTTAGGGTGATTTAATAATAGCATGTTAAATGCAGGCATTTAAAAAATAGCCACATTCATAATATTTATCAGTGAAGAAGCTTTAAATTATAAGACAAATTACAGGACTTTGAGGTCCTAGTTTGGGGATAAACATACCTGTCTGTTGCCAATGTGTATGATTCTAAAGACCCCAATCTAGGGTTTGTGTTTAAGTGATTATTTTATTTCTAGGCATTAAAAGATTATGGAATTGTGCTTCTTCTTAATGCTAGAGAAAATGTGACATTAAACACCTTCATTAATCGTGGACTCATCTATGCAGAACTAGAGCAGTACAGTTTTGCATTAGAGGTAAACCTTTGTTTATTGTAAAAATTAATCCACTTGATTTTGCATGTTCACTTGTGAAAACTAATGAACAAATATTTTCTTGATGCCAAATGGGAATATTAATGTGCAACAATTCAACTTTTGTATTGAAATTGTATTGTATTGAAATGCTTTGACTGTGTAATATAATCTTTGCAGAAAATTGTGTACTTTGCTTATCTGTTTTGATTACAGATTAATAGCCAGTATGTTTAAAAAATTCTGATTTAATGAAATCTCTTACCAATTATCAACTCCCTAGGGGAATAATTTGACTACACAAAATTCAAGTATTTGGCAAATAAAATGATCTGTGTATCATTTACCCTGTTGCTCAGTGCTACCTCTTATTCACAATTTTCCTCATTTTACCATTGAAAATATATCAATAGAAATGTGTTTGTTTTGCACAGGACTGGAAAATAACTGCACAGAATCGGTTACTGGGAATAGGCACTCAGACTTTCAGTAGAAGAAACAAGTGGTTTAAAACATAATTCTTTACAAAATAGTTAAAGAAATTCACTGTTCTCATTTTCATCTCTTAATTTTTATTATCTGTTTTAACTTTGGATTGAAATTGATGAAGGCAAAAATTCAAAAGCAATTTGAAATTTTGTGTTAATAGGAGTTTTGCTACTTTGTTTTTGAGAAACCACAGATAACATTCACATGCTTCTATTCTTTTTATATCCATTGATGGCTTGTATTATTTTTCTATTTCTAGAATCATCTTTTGAGATTCTTTCCCACAGAATTACTTACTTCTTATTAAGGGAGTGTCTGAGAATAGGCAGTTGGCATGATGATGACTTGTAATTTCAAGAGTTGAATTCTTTTAGGTCTTCGTATACTGAAAATATCTTTGAGATATACAATTGAGAATTTCTTTGGTTAGGGGGAAGTAAATAACTCTTTATTTGAAGCAGCTGAAAAAACTGAGGTACTCTGGGCCAGCCACAATGTTCAAGTAGAAAAAGAGAGGAAAATGAGGGTTGAGGCAAAAGGACCTCAGTTATTGGAGAATCTGAGCTGTTGCCGGGTCTGATTTACCTATGAGTAAATAATTGTGTAGTTCTTAAAAAAATAGCTCTATTACATAGTTTCTATATATCTGGTCCTCAGCAATGCTATATATGTTATAATTGTAACTTACAATGAGGAAGATGATATTAAAATATGTTAAATGAGATCTTTCAACCTGGAAGTATTGGGGCAAGATTTGATATCAGGTTCAACTTGATTCCAACTCCTGTGTTCTTTCAGATAAGACAAGGTACTGTCATTGGCAGAGAAGATACGAAGATAAATAAAACAGATTTCCAGCCCTCACATCCCATATCTAATTCACCAACAAGTTCAGTCAGCTCTTTTGCCAGAGTACAGTTTGAATTCAGCCATTTCTCATTTTGGCACATTGTCCTCTTAATTTAAACTTCAACAATCCTTCCCTGTATTACTCTCGTGGCTTCCCAACCAGTCTCTCTGCTTCTGCTCTTGTACCTCCCCATGCTGTTCTTTCTATAGCTGCCAAATAGATCACTTAAACATTAAGCAGACCAAGCTACTTCTCTGCTCAAAATCCTCCAGTGGTTTTCTATCACACTTAAAAAAAACAAAAAACAAAACTAAACTCTCGACTATGGCCATCTGAGACGCTAGATATTCTGAGCGCTCACCAATCTGACTTCCTTGTCAAACATTCTTTCCTCTAATCACTCCACTCTCACCTTTGCCATTTCTTGAACATGCCAGAACCCCCTCCTCCTTATTTCCTATTCACAGAATACCCTTCCTACTGGTCAGGTTTCTGCCCAAATGTGACCTCTTCAGGCAAAAGACAGTAGATTGATTAACATAGTATATAAAAAAGAATTGAAATAATGCAAAACAAGTCAAGAAAGGGAAAATAAGTGAACAGAAACTAGGAGAGCAGTAGAAAACATAACATGACAACTCTATCTAACCATATCAATATATACATTAAGTAGAAATAGTTAAGATGCATCAATTAAAATAAGGAGAATGTTAGATTGGAATTTTAAAAAGAAGTCCAACTATGTTCTGACTATAAGAAACACACTTTAAATAGATAAGTAAAAGACAAAAATTATTTTTTCTCTATGCAGAGTAAAATAATTAAAAAAAATTAAATTAACAATGAAAAGATTCATACTGAGGAAAAAGCAATGAAGGGATAGATAAGACTGGATAATTAGAGGACAGATGAAGAACGATGAGAGAGCAAAATCATAAAATCCACCCAGAAAAAGTTCATTAGTGGGAAGGATTGATTAACAAAGAAGTTAAGTAGAATGAGTGCTAAAAATATATTAGATGGTGGGTAGTTGTATCACCTTCATAGGAATACCTTGATCGGGAATTAGAGGGTAGCATTTCAATTGGTATTATTTGGGAAATCATTGGTTGGCCTGTTTGGGTGGTGGACTTTTTTTTTTATTGCTTTGTCCTCTTGAAAACCTACCAGGAAGAAAGTAAATGAATAAAAAAAAATTTCACAAGGTTAAAAGTAGTGAAGAAGAGACATTTAGGCACCTCAAACTAACATTCTCATTGGAGAGGGGAAGTATGTGGCATGGTGGTATATGATAACATGGTACAATACTCATGTTGTACTGAAATTTGAAGGTAAATAACAGAACAACAAGATGTGAAAACAGTTTTCTTTGGAATGGAACTCAGGACTAAGGAGAGGGTTGGAGCAGGGGACCACAGTAAACATTTCTGGCTTTATTAGACCCTGCACATTGAATACATAGGTTACTTTGATAAGAATAAATGAATGAATAAGTAAAGTGTTGTAAAAGTACATTACAATTTATAAGATAAAATTGACCTTATTAAACAACAGAAATTATAAGACTGATTGAATTTGGGGATACAGAGACAGTGTGCAATGAGTCTGCTTTCGAGGAAATTGAACTAGAAAAACTTGACTTTCTGTAGGTTGCAGGAAGAGAGGGTTGAGGGAAGTCACGTTAGGACAAAGGGGTGAGACAAGGACTAAAGATATGGAAGATGGACCTCCCTGGCGGCATAGGGGTTAAGTCTCAGGACTTTCAAGGTGTTACCACTACAGCAGGTCCAGCCAGGGAGCTAACCCACAATATGGTGCAGCAGACCTCTCCTGTCTTGCCCACTGCTCCCCTCAGCAGTGTATTTCAGTCAGTCTGCCTGTTCTGCTCCCCACTCTGTCTCTGGTGACTCCTTTCACCACCACCCCCAATACCTCTGGCATATACCCCAGTTGTTGTATGCATTTAAAAAAAATTTGTGTATTTAAAAAAAAGTTATGGAAGATAGCAAGAATATGATGGATAAGTTTCCAAGAAGATGGAAAGGAATGAAATCAAGAGCCCACCTTCTGATGCAAAAAAGAAAACTGTATGCTTACAAATAAACTTTTAAATTGCTCACAAATAAACTCATCAGCGGAGGGGATGGGAGTAAAGGGAATTTTCTTTGTATATGAGTGATTAATGTGATCTTCAGAGAAGAAATGTAGAAGAGAAAAAAGATAAAAACTATGATTAGCTTTTTATTCAGTTATGCTAATATCACCATTTATTTCTGTTGCTGATAATGCTCAATTATCATGTAGCATAATAATGATTATTAATATAGAATCAAAATAGATTTATTATAGGCTATAAATAAGGGATATTATTTTATCTGATTACAAAATTAAACAGTATTCTTAGACTTTTAAGGTCCTGGTCACTCCTAACAACTCCCAAAATTAATGGAAATGTTTGTATGAAATCTCACACTTGTAAGTTTGCCTACATTTAATTAAAAAAGGCATCTTAAGGGAGTTACCAGGTGGCATATTTGATTAAACTAGATATTTAGGTAGACAATAAGTTTCTTGTTTTCTTCCAAATAGTTCAATTTAGTGCGAAGGATGCTCCAGGAAGCTGAGAAGGGTGTCGGGTATGTAGACTGGCCTATGGGTAGTGCCCTCTTCCTCCAGTAAGATCTCAGAGTGCATCGTTTAACCCTACTATGCCCTTTTCCACCCCAGTATTAGCAGGAAACTCATTCTCCTCCCATAAATGTTAAGAGGAAAAGAGGACGGTGCGGTTGGAGCTTAGAGGGACTTCCTTTTGCTACAGGAGGTCACTTTGTAGCTTAATCAAGTGAGGTCACAACTGAACCTGCCCAATCTTCAGGGTAAAATCAGTACCTTTAAATTCCTTCACGAGTTTTGAGTGCTTACCTTAGGCTCCTTCTCACATTATGTTAAACATTAGACTCCATCTACATCTCACATCATTTATACACACATACACGTCTCTTGCAGTTGACATGATATTTTGATAAGTAGGTGTTTATTTAAATTATTAATTTCAGTTGAGTGCTCTTAGTTTGTTTCAGGTTTCATATACATTTGTAGGGCACTGAAGACTTAGGAGCATCTGACCCCCTATCTCTTTTGCTGATAGAGGAGTTTGGGGGCCACAGAGGCAGGATCTCTTTTGGCTGAAGCACTGGTAATTCTCTTAAACAGTCTTTCCCCAGGGCCATTTCAGTCCGCCTCAGCTGACTTTCCTAACTCAAAATCTTGGGTTTAGAATTTCCATTGCTCCCTTTTAGGAGGATTCTGGATTCCGGGATAAAACAAAACACCCTCTAAAAGTGTGGATTCCAAAGGCAGAGCACTTTTACCTAATCCACACAGAAAGCCCAGGCCTGCCCTTTCTCTGGGTCTGGATTTCCATTTGTCCTATAATCACATGGGAACATCAGAGGTTCTCTCCAGGTAAAGTTCCATTTTCTTATAGCTGCAGAAGTCTGTGGGCTGCACTGGGAGTAAATGAGATAATCTTATTTCATAAAGCAGGTAAAACCACAGGATATGTGTCTGCCTTGGAAGTGGAGCCAGTAGCACAAGATTATGAGTGAATTTTCAGGGATGGATTTCTGTTGCCCCAGTGATTCTCACTACATGTAACACTAGAGGAAAAAATTCAAGTTTTAGGAAGATGTATATTTTAATGCTAGTTTTAAGTATATTCTTGGAAGAATCAGAGTTATAAGATGGTTTAAGAAAGCACAAATGATAATGTAAAATTAACAAAAATTTATGAAACTGTTTCAGGATTTTAAACAAGCTACACTGATGAAGACGTGTGTGAATCTTTGCCAAGCCACTGCCATATGCCATCACAGGTATGGAGTGTGACGTGTGTGGAAGTGAGAGCAAGGGAGACTGTGACATTTAGCATTACAATAGGAGAATAAAAGAAATGGAAGAAAAGGCTGTGCAAGAGACAGAGTGAAGAATAGGAAGAGACACTAGAATCCCTATTGCTGAGGGTGTCGTGAGCACCCTCTGTGTTCTAATAAGCTGTAGTCCAGTGAGCCAGCAAACACCTGCCTGGGATGTTGGGAGCAGCCAGCTGTTCAAGCCCATGCATTTCCTGGAAAAGGACCTTGGTGAGACATAGGATAAAATCATGCATAACTTAAGCTATCTAGAGTAAAATCAAGTAATTTATTTTGTTTTTAAAATGGAACTAACTTTCCCTTTCCCTTGAAGAGAAGGTGGTTTAAAATAACATCTTTTCAAGAAAATAATACATTTAGAAAGTTTAATGCTCAATCTAAAACAAGTTCAAACAATGCCAGTAAGTGTCTCCAAAATACAATAAAATTGCAAAAAACCTATTACTAAAAACATTATTATCAATTTCTGGAATGATTGTAAAAACAAGTGGTAGGAGGGGAGAAAAATACAGTTACATGTGACTCAAATGTAGAAGCCGATCAGTTTAAAATTTACTCTGAGATAACACAGTATTAGATTGTGTTAATTATAATGCTTATATTTCTACAAATACATTTGACATCTAAAAGTTAATTTCTGGTCATTTTGCTTTTCAAAACGTAGAAATTCAATACATCACGTTCTTAATGTGGTATAAGATGTTTTTGGTTAAGTAATAGTTGAAAGCATTATTTTCATGAGAGAAACAACAGCAGTTAATTGGAAGAGGAAATTAGATAGTAGACTAGGCTATGTAAATATTCTGCTTAGAGAGTAGAACATAAATTGAATTATTTTAGGACCTAGATAGTATAGCACCTTTTCCCTAGATAGTATAGAGATTTAAAAATTTTTATGAACTTAATAACTAGAACTTTTGAAGTTGTCTTTGGCTTAAAATGCCTAACCTGGTCTTTGGCCTTTAATTTTATGCAGAAACCCAAACCGAGTCACCCTCTTTATTTTAATCCAGCAACCTTTTGTACAACCCATTTCTTTAAGTAATTGTTATTCTTAAAAAGAGATGGAATAATGATGACTGATGTGTTTGTTTTGGTGGGGGAGTTTTCACAGACCAAAAATGTCTGAGGTCATTCCAGTTCTCTTAAAACTAAAAACAGAATCTGAAATTTCTCTCAATGTCTTTCCTATGTTTAGAAACTATTAGTCAGTCAACTTCTCCATGTATCACTTCCCCATCTCTTATACAATGTAATCACTGGGTATATAAGATGGCGCCTCCTTAAGCTGATTCTGCTCTGTAATTCCAAATCACCAACTTTTATCCCCTGACTAGGGTCTCTGTTGTCCTTTCATGAAAGTAGAATTTATGTCAACAGTAAAGCCCTGATAATTCACAGTCCCAATTGCATGTGTTTGGGGTTTTAACAGTTTTATTGAATTTAAAAATAAGAAATGTTTAGTGACCAGTTATATTTATTTCAGGAAAAATATTCTTGCTTTTCAAGCTAAGCTATAACATACTTACACAATGGCCACGTGGCTTGTAGATATTAATTTTGACGATGGGCATCTTATTGTGGAGAAAATAAAACTTCTCCCAGTTGGAAAATTTTAAATAAGGAATAAATCTTAAATTTTAGGGCTTTGATCTTTGAACTCGTGGGGTTGAAGACTTTTGAAGTGTGCTTCTGTGTATCCCCCCTGCTTTTCACTCTTGTAGTTGCTAGGAGACAACATTCCTTAGGCTGAATATCCTACTTGTTGCCCAATTTGGTCCCTGAGAGTGTTAGGGGAGAGTTAATTTTTAGACCTCTTTGAGAAAGTCACCTTTAGATTTTGAAAAAAATACATCGCAGAGGGAGAGTCTGATTACTCAGTTCTATGCCCTGCATAAAACTTTTATTTTGCTCTTTTTACATTTGCATCATTTTCTTTTGAACCTTTAACTTGGCAAGGCTCATTCTTCAGTTTTGGGAGGTATTTATGACTTATTTGGACAACTCAGTAGTGCACATCTGGTCATGAATGTGATTCATTGGGAAATGCAGTGGCCTTGGCGTCTGTGGCCAGGTGCAAGCTCAGGGCATGACCCAGAGCTAATGGGCACCATGAGGAGAATCACACACCTTCAGTCAGCAATTGCAGAATTTTAGATCTATATGGACGTATTTTAGAAAAACTTCTTTAATTTACTTTTATACCTGTGATACCTGGTGCCTTACAATTTATGTCTTGATGAACATGTATCCTGATATAATGTAAATTCCCTGCCACATCTTTCCTTGTGATTATTTAACAAGAATTTCCATCTACAGGATGCTTTGTGATATACAGAGCTACAGAAAAAGAAAATTGCTCTGTTTCTTTTATTCTTTCCTGTCTGTTGGTGCAGGGGCTTGGGGATTCTCTGACTTTGACTCTGCATTTGACTTTTAGTTACCATCTGCTCTAAAGAACTTAGTTAGTACCTTTAAGGTTCTATGATTATTTATTTAATCTGAAAAAACTAGCTGTTCATTAAATATTAGTGTTGATAATAAGATAAGGAGGGAAAATAATTTATGGCCCCATTTTTTTAAGTTGGTTAGTCTATAGCAAAGGTGAAATTATATTTTATAAAACTTATATCAGCATATATACTCCCAAAGGATTTTAATCTCCCTCTAGGTAATAGGGGTGGTGTGTATGATGCTATTTAGATGTTCCTATAGTAAGAACATTCAATGTTTTCTGGGGAGTATGTGGAAGAACTCAGATTGCCTTGGAGATTTCGGTTTACATAGTTACATAGTTACATAGATATGCATCATAAACAGAGTCAATTACCTATGGATAAAAATATAAACACAAAACCTATACTTTCATACAAGATTAAAATTATTGTATAATTTTGTACAAAATCATTACTGTCTTTTTGATAAATAATTTGTCATCTGTGTTTAGAATTCTTCCTACAGTATATAGTGAGAAGGAAGGTACAGGTATTTTGACCCCAATATTCAGTGAACTTTTGCTTCTCAAATAATGTCAGCATCAAGAAAGGGGAGCACAATTTCTCTGTAAACTGCTGGAGGGAAGAGCCAGTGTTTTCTTAGGAACAAGTCACAGAGTTTACTCAGAAGATTCCAACTGATTCACATATGTGAATGTTAACCTTCTCCTGTCTGTAACGGCAGAACTCAGCTTTCCTGTTATTCTTGTGTTACCTCTCAGCAGAAGGCTTGATGCACCACTTTTGGGTAGTATTTGCGAAAACATGGAGCAACTATCTTGAACACCTGAATTATTTTTCATGGTGTGGTCAAAGAGTTAAAAAAAATGAATCACATTGCGAGAAACAGACCCACATTTTATTTTCAAACCTTCTGAATACATAAGGAAGAAAGGATCATCCAGGAGCTGCTCTTTGAGATCTTTCTGACACTTGGTAATGGGTGATGTCAGATGCCATCCTCAGGTTTCTGTTTTCTGCAGATCACAGTATCCATCTCCAATATTTATTTTCATGGTTACCTTCTGTTAATGGAAGAGATACTGAATTTTTATTTATGATAAAAATTGTGACTCAGTAGGTGGAAGAGGGCAGCTTCCACAAAGGAGTAACTAACGTTTGGGAAACACTATATTAAGAGTTATTCCTGAGTAATATTTAGGGGGGGGGTGATAGTTTCTAGAACTAGTTACATATTCCACAGGCATTTCCATGTGAAACTGACATAGTAGTGAAGCATCTTGTTAAATTTTGAAGTCTCAAAAGTAATGAAGAGAGTGGAAAGTAGATGATAATCTTTATCTGGTGAGGGTCTCTGTGCTGTTTTCCACGTGCTATCCTTTGATTCTTATAGCAAATTTGAAAAATTAGTACATGCACAAGATTAAGTCTGAACCCCAGGTTTTTCTTCTAGTTACACTATTGAGATACCAGCTCACTGGCTTTCTTGTGCCAACTACAAGCACATTAAAGGCGAAGAATGTGTGGGAGAGATAACTGTGTAGAAAGCATGGATTTGCAGTATGGCTTACTTGAGTTTGAATCTCAGATGTATACTCTTTTCTCCTTAGTTGGTATTTATTATGTCATTTACAATGTGCAAGCTTTTCTGAGCCATGGTTTTCTTTTAATCTAGAAAATGTAGAAAATTATAACTAGTTTACAAGATTGTTGGAAGGAGTAAGTGAAAATGAGGTATGAAGTTGAATTCTCCACATTACATAGTTTTGTAAATGAATGGCAGATCAATGAAAGTTGATGAAAAAAAGAAGTAGCACATGTATTTAGCAAAGTAGCTAATAAGCAGTTCCTCAATATTAGCTCTCATCCTATTAAAAAATATAGACTTTCTCTCTCTCTTTTTTTTTTTTTTGAGGTTAAATGCTGTTATTAGATGCAGTAGATTGGAAAGTCAACTTTATCTGCCCATGAACAAATTTTTAATCCCTTCAGCAGCCCTCACTCTACCTTAAGAAAGTAATTCGGGATGACAGAGAGATAGAGTTAACATATATTGTCACATTACTTACAAGTTAATAAATGAAATGCATTTTACCTCTTTTCTTCCTTCCTCTCCTGGTGCCCACAATGCAATGGACTACTTTTCTAAAAGATCTGAAGTAAGGACTTTGGTGTGATGAAACTTTGGTTCCTTTCATCATAAAAGGAAACACTAAATATATATAAATAAATTTATTTTAATATTATTCAAATAGTGAATTTCATCAATAATAATGATGGATAATAAAATTAAAGGTTTTTTGAAAATAAGTATCACTGCAAATCCTTATGAAAAAGTGCTAACTTTCATTGATCTGCCATTCATTTACAAAACTATGTAATGTGGAGAATTCAACTTCACACCTCTATTTCACTTACTCCTTCCAACAATCTTGTAAACTAGTTATAATTTTCTACATTTTCTAGATTAAAAGAAAACCATGGCTCAGAAAAGCTTGCACATTGTAACACCAGAAAGTATCAATACTTCCATTTGTTTTCAGAATTAAAGAGTTTGAAGATGCTGTTAATTTCTTCACCCGGGCTCTTAAAATTGACCCATGTTTTCTGGATGCTTACGTTGGACGGGGAAATTCTTACATGGAATATGGTCACGACGAAGCCACCAAGCAGGCACAGAAGGACTTTCTGAAAGCATTGCATTTTAATCCGACGTACACAAAAGCCAGAATTAGTTTAGGCTATAATTTGCAGGTAATATTATATAGCAACACTTTGTGCCATGAAGCACCTTTTGGACAAGAATAGAATTATTCCGCCCTTTGCTGTCATTTCTTTGGTTAGGAACGTTTCCCCCCTTACCTTGCATTTAGTATCCAGAGTAACAGTGGGACAGTGGCTAAATTAGCCCCACGGAGGCTGTTCTGGGTATGGCGTGCACTCAAAAGAAATCTTCTGAAACTAAGTTTCTTTAATGCCTACACCCCTACTCCTTCAGACCCACACTTATAAACTAACTTTAAACTTTGCCTGATGAGTTTCACATGTGAGAACTTCCTAGCATTTGTTTAGCATTTGTTAGCATATACCTTGGGGTGTCTTAGTTTTGTACTACTGAATTTGTGAAAAATTTAAAGGGAATTAACAACATATGAGAGTTCTGCTGTGGACTTCAGTCAGGCAACCACTTTATGGGGATTTCTGAATCCAGATCTTTGTCCAAATGGCACAGACTATGGGGGGTAGGGTGGGGGGAGTCAAGACACCAGGCATTTGTCCTTTCAGCAAGATGGGAGAGTGCTACCCTGACTGTTGCCAAGCAGGGTTCAGAGTGATTTCTGGGTCTCTCCAACCTGAGTCAGATACTCACAATGGTAATTGTGCCAATTTGCACCAATAAAAGTTGTACTGACACTCTTGGGGTAAACAAGATGATTCTCAAACAGGAGACAGGATGATTCTCAAAGGAACTAGAGCTGATGGTAATCTAATGAAATGTGTTAACATGCTCATGATTGCATTCAGTGGGCATTTAGTGAGTACCTAATATAGAACAGGGACTTTTCTAGGCTCAGGATACAGCAATGAAGAAAATATACTTAGGTCTTCTCATACAGTTTGCCACCTAGTGAAAAGATGAGTATTGTGCAATCATGTAAATATTTAATTATTCTCATAATAAATGCAATGAAGGAAAATAATGGCTGTTAAGACAACTTACAAAGGAACCCAACTTTGTTTGAGGGGTAAAGGATCACGATGCAGTGTCAGTTCCTGAGGGGGACAGAAGCCTATACTTCCAAAGTATCCACAACAATGTGACCTCAATTAAAAAAATTAAGGCATGGCCTCCCTGGAGGTGCAAGGGGGTAATCACCGCACTATGAAGCAATCCGCAGGCAGGGAGAAACCCACATGGCGAGGCAAACCTCACCTGTCCCTCCCGCTGCTCCCCTCCGCAGTGTATTTCAGTCAGTCTGCCTGTTCTTTTCCCCACTCTGTCTCTGGTGGATCCTCTCACCCCCGCATCTCTGGCCTGTGCCCCAGCTCTTGTATGCATAAATAAATAAATCTTTTAAAAAATTAAGGCATGAAAGATTAGCAATTAATCAGGGATAATGATTGGGGCTAGGACACAGAATTGTAGAGAACAGGAAGAGCTCAATAGAAAGTCTTGTGAGAAAGAGACAGAGGGCCTAAGTGGATGAGCGCTATGGACAGGCAAAGTGAAGTGGCAAGAAGCAAGATTTGAGCAGTTACTGGAGGCGATGACTTTGCAGGCCAGTAAAAATATAACTAGTGCTAGCAAGAGCAGTCATGCCAGATTTGTGTTTTATGGTGAAGATTTCACCGGGGCGATACCAACATGGAAGAGAATTAGAAAACACACCAGCATGAGAAAGGATTGGATCAGGAAAGGAGGGACTGAAAAAAAAACGTTAGGCCCATGCAAGTACTGCTCAAGGAATGAGTGACCATTCATTCAACAAAAACTTACAGATTCTCCTACTTCCTGCCTAGCTCTGGGGATATATAAATGTGAGCAAAACAGGTGTTGTTCAGAACAAATGACAGGCAATCCCACTGTTAGTCTCTTTGTAGTTTCATATCCTAATATGCTAATCTCAATTTGCCCTCTTCCTTGCTTATCAAACAAACTTGTGATGACGATTTTGCTTTGTGTATGATTTACCTGGAGGAAGATGATTTGCTGGCAAACGAACAATATCTAGTTATCTTGTTAGTTATATTTATTAGTTTTATGTAAGAGTCTTGGGCTCAGCTTGGTTAATGTGAGTTCTGAGATTCTGAAAAGTTGAGTTTTTGAGCCCATGAGAATGGAAAACAGACGCAGGGACATGCTGACTTTATCAACTCACTGCCTTCCTGTGATGCAACTAATCTTTTCAGGAAACACCATGACATATCTCTATTAAGGTGCCCCTCTCTTGGCTTTTTTTTTTTTCAGTTGACCCCAAGGTTGGTCTAAGCATGTGGTAGATTTGCATGCATTTTCTATGGACTAGATATTGTGATCCTAAAATTCCAGGTGCTGTTACAATTTATCAAAGTAGGTTTTACACTATTCATTTATTCATTTATTTATTCCACATGTAGTTATTTGATTGTGTATATTATATATAACTGGAGATTAGACTAGATATTGTGACTAGATATTGTGATCCTAAAATTCCAGGTGCTGTTACAATTTATCAAAGTAGGTTTTACACTATTCATTTATTCATTTATTTATTCCACATGTAGTTATTTGTGTATATTATATATAACTGGAGATTCAATGCTAAGCATATAAATGCAATCCCTGCACATGTGAGTCAAGCTCAGTATAAATTTTTGGTAATTATTTGTTAGAAGCATTGGCATTTTACTGGAGACCATGATTTTATGTTGTCCAAATTGGTATAAGAGATGACTCTGACAAGTAGAGTTTTTTTTTTTTTTTTAAGATTTACTTTATTTATTTATGTATGCAAGCACTGGAGTCTAGGCTAGAGCTGCGGGGTGTGAGAGGATTCACCAGAAACAGAGCGGGGAACAGAACAGGTGGGTCTACTGACATACACTGCTGAGGGGAGCAGCGGGTGAGACAGGAGAGGTCTGCTGTGCCACGTGGGTTAACTACCTGGCCAGGGCGCGAACTCATGGCTGGTGATAGCTTGATAGCTTAATAGCACTGAGACTTTATCCCTTACGCCACCAGGGAGGCCCCCAATTAGAGTTCTTTTAATTAATATGTCAGCCTCACTTCTTGGCGGTATTTGGTCAATTGAAGATATTCACAGTACAGCCTGCTTCCTCATTTAAAGTATCAAGATTTAGCTCAGTACAATAACAAAAACAAAGAGAAACCCCACCAACTGGGAGAACATTTTTGCACACAACACTAATGATAAAGGACTGATCACAAAAATCTACAAAGAACTGATGAGACTCAACAACAACAAAGAAAATAATCCAGTTAAAAAATGGGCAGAAGAGCTAAAAAGAAACTTCTCTGAAGAGGAAATGCAAATGGCCAACAGACATATGAAAAAATGTTCAACATCACTTGTAATCAGGGAAATGCAAATCAAAACTACCATGAGATACCATCACACACCAGTGAGAATGGCACATATTAAAAAAACTTGCAACAACAAATGTTGGCGAGGATGTGGAAAAAAAGGAACTCTCCTGCACTGCTGGTGGGAGTGCAAACTGGTCCAACCACTATGGAGAGCTGTGTGGCGATTTCTGGACCTACTAAACATAGAGCTTCCATATGATCCAGCAATTCCACTCCTAGGTATTTACCCAAAGGACACAGAAACATCAATTCCAAAGAACACCTGCACCCCTATGTTTATAGCAGCACTATTTACAATAGCTAAGCTTTGGAAACAGCCCAAATGCCCAAAAATAGATGACTGGATCAAGAAGATGTGGTACATATATACCATGGAATATTACTCAGCATTCAAAAAAGATAAACACATGCAATTTGCAGCAACATGGATGGTGCTGGAAGGGATCATGCTCAGCGAAATAAGCCAGAAAGAAAAAGAAAAATACTGGATGGTCTCACTCATAGCAGGAATCTAGAAAACTTAAATAAGGGACCAGGAAAATGAATAACTATAAGAAAGTGAAAATCAAAATCAACAAAAAACTATGAACCAGAGACACTTTGGGGGGGGGGTGGCGGGAGGGGAGGGATTGGGGTCAGAATGAGGGGGTTGCAATTATATGGGGAATATAAAAATAAAATTTATTATTTAAAAAAAAAAGATTTAGCTCAGTATAAAGCTACCTGTACTAAAGATTTTATTTGACTGGATTAGAATCATAAACATTGGTCATGTATGAGCTACCTCCTTGTTCATAAAGTGGAAAATCATTTTAGGCTCAAGGAAAATTCCAGAAGGCTTGGAACCATTTTACCATTGCCATAGAACTTGATCCAAAGAGCTACCTAGCCTATGAAGGAAGAGCTGTGGTCTGCCTCCAGATGCGTGATTATTTTGCTGCAATTCAGGATATAAATGCTGCCATAAAGGTAAAAACTACTAATATTATCATTATGAATTAACACCTTCAATGAATAGGGCCAAGTAAGTTTTCTATTGTCTTTTTAAAGTGACTTGCACAGGAAATGTTTGTATGTTTTTTCCCCCCAAGTCATTCCTAGGATGAGGCATTATTATGACTTGCCGATTTTATAACCTAAATTCAAAAAGCAATCCCTGACAAATGTTGATGCCTCCCATTAAATATAGTTTATAGTTGAGTGGAAACATCAGTATAGTTTTGTAATAAAAGTGAATATAAAACATAAAATAACCTAATCTAGGTTTGAGGGAACTAAAAAAAAAAACCAATACAATTCCCCAGATTAATAAAAATCTCAAATTTTGGATTCAGTGACAGAATATCTTCTTTACGTCTATATTTTTAAATGCTGTTTCTATAGATATTTGGTGGGTATTATAATCTTTGAGATTCAAGAAATGCTGAAAGATAATTGCTAGTACACAGGACAAATAAACATGTTAACTATTTAATGTCTCCTCCAGCTTAATATAGCTAAACAAGTTTTATCCCGTGTCTGTTCTTTGGAAAGGAACTAAGTAAAGTACTAAGATTATTTGTTTTATTGCAACCAAATCAACAAAGTGTTGACATTGAACCGACTTCATACTAAGTTCTTTCTCAAAATATTTGCTCAAATGGGGTTTTACCTGTACTATAAAATTACTAGTTTCCCGCAAGTAGATTTCATAACCTTCATTTTTGCAGACATGAAATTGGAGATAAATACTATTCCCAGATGCTAAATACTCATACTATTATATTGCAGATCAATACTACAGCAGAATTCTTAACAAATCGTGGTGTGATTCATGAGTTTATGGGTCAACAACAGAATGCAATGAAAGACTATCAAGGGGCAATTTCTTTAAACCCCACGTACTCGCTGGCTTACTTTAATGCAGGAAATATCTACTTTCACCACAGGCAGTTTTCCCAGGTAATGTGAGTTTTCCTTAACATTTTCTTTTGGACACTAAATGCTTTCTTTGTTCTACATAATTTCAAAATGCAATCCTTACATGTCAGGTTAATCACTCACTAGATCTTCTCTTTCAAAATATATTCTCATTCATAAGGATGTTTATAATTATTTATTAAATGTTTACAACTGTAATGGATTTATTCTCCTTATTACCAGTAAATGGTAATAACATTTGTCCAGTAAATGTTTTTTTGACTTCCCCAAGTGTCTGCAATTGCACTGCTTTCCATTGTCACCAGCTTTCAGGCTGGAATCTCCTGTTCTTTGGGCTCATTTAATTAAATCTCAGACTTTCTTTAAGACCCTCTTTCATGATGTGATTATTTAATTCATATTAATTTCCACCTTTTTAAAATTGCAGTCACTTACTGAGAATAAGGAGATCTGGATGTGAATTCTGATTTTATGACATCTTGGTCTTTTTGGATCTCAGTTCACAATGTCTGAAATAAAAGTGTTTGGTTATTAGATGACTTTTTTTTATATGCTATATTTCTTTTATTTGAACTGGAATGCATTCACATGATTCAAGTGTTTTAAATTTTACTTCTTAATCTTTATTTACTCTTTTTTTTCTTGTTCTTTGTCTATTTTTTTTTCATTTGGAAGTTAAATTCACTTATTGTTATCCTTTTGTTTCTATTGTGAGGTATGTTATTAGTAATTTTATGTCTTTCCCCGAGTATTGCATTTTGCATTATTCCATATATTTGGATCTGTAATGCTTTTGTTTTTGTTTCCCCAAATTTTGCACCTATAATTTTATTTCCCTTTAACTCCAGAATAAATTAATAGGGTATTTAAAAAATCCAGGTGAAAAGGCTTTTATATTTTCAAAATTTGAAATTTATTTTTACTGACAATATATGACATTTTTTTTCTTAATTCCAGGGGACTTTCTAAAGATGCATATCTTACAACAGTATATATATGTATAAGATCTACCTTATAATTGTTTTTTGGTCTATAGCCACCCTTTTTTTCCTCATTAATTTCTGTTGAACTGAGAAAGGTTTATTCGACAATCCTGTAATTAGTGTGGTCCTCTGTAGTTTTCTTTACATCTTTTGTAAGTTCTACTTTATGAAAATTTTGTTGCATTCTTTCATATATATATTTATACATATTGAATATACATTGTCAATTGTAGTTGTCAGCATTACATGTGCCCTTCTTTATTTTATTTTTTTAAAGACTCTTTGGAGTAAATTCAGCTTTATCTGACATATAGGTTATAAGCTCTGGTTTTATTTGGTTTGCTTCTATCTGGTATTCCTTTGCCCTTACTTTTATTTTCAACATTTAGATGTATTTCTTTTAAATAGCATAAAATTGTATTTTGCTTTATAAATCAATTTGAAAAAAAATTACCTTTTAATATGTATGTAAAGCCTGCTTAAATTTTGGCAAGATCAATATGTTTGGTCTTAGTTCTGTTATTTTATGTCATATTTTACTAGTTTTTAAAAAATATTTTATATTTTTAAACTACCACGTGCTTTCCACATTCATATTTATTATTGAAACAACAATGCATTCCAACAAATAAAATGCATTCCAACAAATAAAAATTTCAGCTGTTCATCTTGGAGATTCGAACTGTATAAACTACATTAAGTTCACTGCTGAGTAATTTATTCTGGGTCTGTTTTATTTTTTCAGAGTTTTTCTGTTAGTAAGGTGTACAGTTTTGCTCTAGTAATTACTTTTTATAAAAATATTTTTATATCCTTAGTTCCTTATTTCATCAGTTTCTCGACTGTGAACAACAATAAAATTATCTTTTCATCTCCTCTCATCTTCTAGTCTGTTTTAGTTAATAGCATTTTCTCTTCAAAAACTGTATGTTTGATTTCTTAAATGTGCTTGAGCTTATTGTGTCAGCTAACTTTCCACTTACTTACTCTGCTCTCCCATTTTGTGTGAGTTTCATTATCTTACACTGTCAGAGGACTAAATGTTTGTATACTATCTGCTATGCTTATTTCAAATTTTAGTCTTAGTTCTCTAGTTAAGTATATTCAGTCCTCATCACCAGACAGTTTGCCAAAGATTCCCTTCTAAGCAATCCTTCCTTAGTTGTCTGAAATTAGTTCTTTAGTGGAGTCCTGGGAACAATATTCCTTGATTATTTTCACTTTCATAGCTTGTTGCTTATCTTTATCTCTTAAGGCAGCATGTCTGGGTTTGAAATCCCTGGTTCCCTTATTTTCTTGAGTGTCTTGTAAATGTTGTTTCTGTTTTGGGATATTATAATTTGATATCAAGAAATCTGATGCCAACCTGATTTTCATTCTTTTTCTGTGAATCCTTTCTGTAAGGATAACCGAAGATTTTTGCAGTAAAAAGTTTTACCCCGAGGCATGGGGTCACATTTATCAGGTACCCAGTGTGTGTTTTCAATAGTAGTTTTCAGAAAAGCTGAATTCATTGGAAATTTTTTTCATTGTTTTGATTTTCTTCATTAGGAATACCAAGATGCATAAAGTTGGTGTGTATACACACACACACACACACACACACACACACATATATATAGATTATATATGATGTCTTTTGACTTTCAAATAAAATTTTTTTTCAAATATTTAAATTTAAATTTATTTCTCATTTTCTTTGCCTTCCTCACATTTCTCTTTTACAACTTTACTGTGCTTTTTCATATACATTTTGTGGATCTTGTAATTCAGGTTTCTTTTTAATTTTTTTCCTTGTTCCATTCCATTTCCAGGTCACATCTTTTCTAATTCCTTTATTAGTCTGATTTTTTAAAAATGCAGTTACTTTCATAGCAGTTTTTTTCCTTGTTCATTTTAAAATGTTATTTTAGAATTTTAGCTGTATTGCAGCAATTTTTTTGATGAATTTCATTATCTTTACAAAAATTGAGCTTTTTTTCACCCTTGTTTTACAATGAAGGCAGAAAAATTACTCTTCTGCTACTACATTTTAATGAGATAAATTATTTTTCTGGAATAATAGCAGAGATTCTTGTGGGAGAGTGGGGCATGGGCTATAGTAACTTTTCATGTTGGGGTCACTCTGAAGCTATTATAGCAAAGGACTAGACACTATGTCCTCTCTACCTTCACCTGGTCCAGGAAGATTTCCATACAAGCTCTGTGTTTCTCAGAACTTTTCTCAGCCCTTTCTGTGTAAGATGATATACTCATTTTACAAAGTTGTCTTTATTGCTTGCATTTTCTGGGGCTTTTAACTTCTGTTCTCTGCCATCCAATACTGTCACCATACTCTTTAATAACATGATCTTTGATGCACATAAATGTGTTAAGAAGTTATGGTTCTTACCTGTATTTTGCTGACAAGTTTAGCAAGTAATCCTGATTCTGTTTTGCTCTTTTTTCTTTCAATCCCCATATTATATAATGTACCTGCCATGTGCTGGGTAGTAAGACCCTGAGGATTGGAAAGCTGAACAAGACAAAGAAAGATTTTGTTCTGGTTGTAGCTTAAATTTTCTGGAGGAAGAAATAGAAAATAAATAAGAAAATACTAATAGTAACAAATGCTTAGTTTAGTATCATATAAGCATCAGATTATTATTAGTATATGTGTGGGACTGTATGAGATTACCTGGGTGTAACCTATGTCTTTGCCTCAATTTCTTCACCTGTAAAGGAAGGTAACGGATAAAACTCTACAAGTAGAGTTTCATAGGAAGTGTTCATAATAAGTGGCAGAGCCAGGATTTGAGCCTAGAAACCTGGCTGTGGTTGAGTTTCTGCCCACCATGCTGTCAGGGTTTCCTTTCACGCACAGTGGAAGTCAACTAAAGACAACTGCATGGCAAACGCAAATAGAGAAAATAGTTCAGTGAAGGACACTGAGGAAATTATTGGAGAAATAGAACAAAAAAGTAGGGAGACACACTGTTGCTAGGACAGAGAGTTTTGACAGGAGAGATTACATGTGTTCACGTGACAGAAATGTTGTGGAAGAACTACTAGGAAATATCCAGTGAGATTGAGGCCATCTTCAATATTAGCAAGAGTCGAAATCATGGACCAGGAAGCGGTAGATGGGAGGAAGATTGTGTTGTGTTTTGGAAAAATTGCTTAGTAAGAAATTGAGGAGAGCAAGCTGTATTATTAAAAATGGCTCCCTTTAAAATATGTTTAAGGTAGGAGTGAAATTTTCATGAATCATGGAGTTAAAGAAGAGATTCCTACCTTGAGCATTAAAATGTCTAAACAGCATTTTAAGCTATTTGTGGTGGTGAATCAGTTTTTATTTAACTTTCTAGTTTATATATTTTTATATATTTTTCTTCTTATATATATTATATGTATGCATATATACTGGGTTATGGTATATGTGCTGTAGTGGGATGTGGGATATGTATGTGTAAGGGTTGGGGAATGGAGCATTTTGTCTTAGCAGTAATATTTTATCACTGATGTTGTGTAGAATTGCTGACACACGGTGATAATGAGAAGAAGACTAACTTTTGGTCAGTTTTATTGATCTTTACCTTCTTTACAGACAATGCATCTCCTTATCATATGGGATGAAATGCTTCCACTATTTCATTGCTCTATCCCTGACCTTAATTTTATATTGATAGTGCTTCAATTTCTGTATAGCTACCAATTAAAATATATTCAAATTAACATTATCTTCATATTTTATAGGCCAGCAACTACTTCTCAAAGGCTTTAAAATTTGATCCAGAAAATGGATACATAGCCATGAATCAAGCTATTTCAAATACAGTATTAAAGAAATATGAAAAAGCAAAAGAAGATTTTGAACGTGTAGTTGAAACCTGTCCCTTTTGGTCTGCAGCATATTTTAACAGAGCACAATTCTACTGTTGCTTAAAGCAATATGCACTAGCTGAAGAAGACCTTAACAAAGGTAATTTTGGGGTAACTTTTTTGGAGTAAGATTACAACTATTAATGCAAATAGATGCAAAAGAAGAAAATTATCCAATCTATTTATCTAGTTAAATGTTCGCAAGAATTGATATTTTATATCATGTCTTCAGTGTAATTAATATAGATTCCTCTCATGTAATATCTTAAAGCTTTGGTTATCTGAGATAGAGAAAATTATTAGGGAATCATAAACAATGCAAGTCTCTCAAAAAAACACATACACACACACACTTTACTGCATTTTTTTCAAGTTAATTTTCTTAGAAAGATGTACTATTTTTAATTTAGCTTAGGTACATTTTAAGCAAAATATTTTCAAATAAGTAAACCCTTAAGTTCTTCTGATATAAGGTGTTTGTTTTTAAAATGAGACTGTTTTCGAGTGCTAGCATAAAACATATCTTGAAATACTTTTCTTTTACAGCCCTGTCTTTGAAACCCAATGATGCTCTAGTATATAATCTTAGAGCACAAGTTCGTGGTAAAATAGGTCTGATTAAAGAAGCCGTGACTGACTATAACCAAGCACTTGACCTTCAAGAATTTGCCTCACATGGACTGTAGTTTCCAGTGTGGTTTACACACCTTCCAGAAATTGAAATGCATTGTTGTTTAAAAGTTTGCACTATCTTCATTATTGTATTCATTGTTTTATCTTTAATAGCCCTCTAATGCATTTTAACAACATATTTGAGTTATATATGAGTTATAAAACTTTTAGATCCTTTTCTGCTTATTTGGAATAACTAATATTTGCATTTCTTAATGGGATGCTGAATTTAATGGAATATTTCTTAAAAGATATTAACACAAAACTTTCTTTAAAGTCAAATGATAGCATTTGAAATGATGCTGCTGATAATAATTGCAGAAAAGTGTCTGATCTTTTCATCAATATCTATACATAATGTATGCACAGTGTCCAGATTTAACACAATAAATATGGAGTTGATGACTATAAAGAAGTTTAAGTCCAGTATATTTCCTGTCTTTTTAAAACCTTGTATATACAAACCTGTGTTCTTCCTGGTGCTTATTATCTTCCAACATATAAACACGTTTCTCTTTTATGCAATGCCTTCTCTCCAGGACAGCACCCATAAAAATTTTGCACATCCCATTTGGTCTATGCCTTGTGGCTATGGGTAGCAGATAATTAAACTTGAAAGTTATGACTGTAATAATCATGTTTTTTCACTTACTTTAAGCAAGATACGCTGTTGCATGCTTCATAGACATTGCTTTCTCAATAACCTCTTGAGGTAGGAGGTATCTCTAGATGAGGAACCAAGGTCTGGAAAGACTGAGTTACATGATGAAGGTCACACAGCCAGTACATGGAGGAATGGAGAGGTAACCTGTATTCAAGTTTCAAAGCCTCTGCTTTTCCTGATCCTTTTCACCTAGAAATAAAACCAGATAAACTGAGAATCTATCAAATAAGCTTTATAATGTTAAAGCTCTGGATTTGCATTGTGAGTAACAATGCAGAAAATGGATCTCCAGTCTTTGACACTTTGTTTTGTTTAAAAAAATAAATTTTCATTGAGGTAACATTCATTTACATTATATGACTTTGTGGCATGCAGCATCATAATTCATTATATTTCAGTTCCCATCTCCCACCTTACAGCTGACTTCCCTCACCCTTTCACCCACTCCCCATCTCCCGCCCCTCCTGGTAACTGCCAGTCTGTGTATCTAAGACTTGGTTTTTGTTTTGTTTGCTCTTTTTTTTTTTAATATTCCATATATGAATGAATTCATACCGTAACTGTTTTCTCTGACTTATTTCACTTAGCATAACAACCTTGAGTATAATTCATGTTGTTGTAAATGGCAAGATTTCATTTTTGGTGTTTTTTTAATAGCTGAGAAGCATTTCATTGTGTGTATATGTATATACCATATCTTATCTGTTCATCTGTTGATAGGCACTTAGGTTGTTTCCATATCTTGGCTATTGTGAACAGCGCTGCAATGAACATAGGGGTGCATAACTTTTTGAGTTAGTGTTTTTATGTTTTTCAGAAAAATACTCAAAAGTGGAACAGCTGGATCATATGACATTTATAATAATTTTAAAAGAAATCTCCATACTGTTTTCTAGTAGTGGCTGCACCAATTTATATTCCTGCCAACATTATAACATTTCTTTTTGTATTGGTATGTATCTGTGTATAGCGTTGTCTATGTCTATCTGTCACATATCTATCCATCCATCCGTCCATCCATGCATAATACCTGAAACTTTTAATTTGAAATACAATGTGCAATATCTTACATTTTATTTTTTTAATAGTTTTTTTTATAGAGGCATGTTTTTATTTATTTATTTGTTTGTTTGTTTTTTGTTTATACAAGCACTGGGTACAGTCAGAAGCGTGGGAGGGTGAGAGAATTCACCAGAGCCAGAGCGGGGAGCAGAGCAGGCAGAAGGACCAAAGTACACTGCTGAGGGGAGCAGCGGGCGGCAGGAGAGGTCTGCGCGCCATGTGGGAGCCTCCTCCGGTGGCCGGGGAGCAGCAGAGGATCGAACCGGCGCTGCAGAGGCCTTCGCAACCCAGTGCTCAACCGCCAGTGCACCACCGGGGAGGCCCTCTTACATTTTATTTTTAATAATAAAGACCAGATAGAAATTTAAAGCAGAAAGTTCAACCTGTAAGCAGTAAGAAAGGGGGGGAAAAGTAATCATCTCTTGTTAAAACTCAGCTATCGCTTAAGGATATTTTCATTTCACCATTATCAGTGAACCAGGTTTAATTATTTTCATTTGCAGAAGTAAAATATGAGGCACAGAAAGGTTAAATCATCAGTTTAGAGCACCTCTAGTATAATGATGTTACCCAAAGTATGTTTTACTTGTATTCAGTATATTTCTTTACTGACTAATATTAATTGAATTTATTTTAAAAAGAAGGCATTTATAAATATAATTTCATAACTATTAAAAATTTGTTCTTATTCTACCTAAAATATCTATTTTTATGCCAGCATTACTCAAAGTACATTTTGGGAAACATTAACCTGACAGTGCTATTACTAGATTGGTACAGCTGGAAGGGCAATAGAGAGAAGGAGGGAAGGACATTTAATGCCTGTTGAGATGGGTGAGAGAAAAGAATGAATAAGAAGCAGAAGTTGATGGGTGCCTATGGAGGCAGAAAGTCTTGTGAAAGCAGTAGTCTTGTGCTTTGAGAGTTTCGGGCTATATTCTTAGCATATTGTTGCGATAAAATTTTATTCCCAGAGATTCCCCAATGACATAAAATGTTTTATTAGTCAATGTTTTTGTGCCATTGATTCCTGAAAAGAAGTGACTTTATGACCATCTACTATGAGATGCCAGTGTTCAACATTCTTCCTCTCCTCTTTTCTTGGATAATTTATTCTCAGAAAGAGACTCTTTCCTCACTCCTGGAGAGAAGCTCAGATCTTTTTGCTCTACCCTTCCACAGCACTGCTATCTACTTCTTTGTTCATGTTTGTGTATCCTTGTTTAATGCTTGTCTTTCCCGCTAGATTAGAAACTATTCGAGGGCAAGACTTAGATCCACTCTGGTCACTTAGATCCACCACTGTATCTTCAATGCTTATCATAGTTCCTGACACCTAACAAGCTCTCTCACACATTTTGATGAATTACTTAGATAAAATGCAGTCCTAGACTCATAATATATTTTAATCTAATATATTACAGATATGCTTTATTGTTTATTTCTATGATACAGTGAGAATCCTGTGAGATTCTAGGTGAGCTTAGAATTTTCAAAGGTCAACGCAGTGGCGGCATGGATCCTCAGTGCTGCTCTTTTTTAACATTGCCTGTGAGTATAGAGGTCCTTAGCATCCACACAGCTCTCACAATGATGTATTATCTTAGGAAATGAAATTAGAAAAAATCAAGATGTAATGGACTCAATCAATCTTTTGTAAAAATTATCCTAAGCATTAGTCAAGAAAGAGATATTGGAAAAAAAAAATATCTCTTGTTAAAGTGATGAGGATGAAATGTCTGTAACCATGATGTATCAGCCTCTCAAGTTAACCATTGTAATTTGTATAATTGGATGAAGCTATGACATAATCAAGTTGCAAACCAATCAAATATAGTGAATAAGAGACTATGACAAATTATTTTATTATTTATTATACTTTTCATTGAGGTAACATTGGTTTACAATACTGTATATGATTCAGAGGTATAAGGTCATACCTATTCAGAATACATTACCATACCATACCCACTACCGAGGCACTCACAGTCCTCAACTGTAGCCCATTTTGTCTCTATCCTCCCTCCTCCTACCTGGTAACCTCAATTTTGCATTCAGATTTCTAGGGTTTGTTTTTTGGCTTTCTTTTGTTTGACCCTTTGTTTTGTTTCCCTTTACTCCACGTGTAAGTGATACCATCAGGTATTGTCTTTCTCCTTCTGGCTTATTTTGCTTAGCTTTATCACCTCCAGTTCCACCTCATGTTGTAGCAAAGGACAAGAGTTCACTTTTCATGGCTGTGTAGTATTCTAGTATATTTATATTTATGTTCTAGTGTATATATTTTTTAAGCATGTGTTTTAGCATAGTTTGGGTAGATTCCTAGGAGTAGAAGTGCTGGACTGTATGTTAGATCTGTATTCAATATTTTGAGAAACCTCCAAACTATTTTCTAGACTGTTTGGACCAGTCTACATTCTCACCATCAGTGTAAGGGAGTCCCTTTTTTCTCCATATCATAGCCAACACTTGTTTCTGGTCTTTTTGACCAGAAACATTCTCACATATGTGAGATAGTATCTCATTGTGTCTTGTTTGCATTTTCCTGATGATAAGCATTTTTTCTGTGCCTATTGGCCATCTGTATGTCTTCTTTGGAAAAGTGTCTGTTTAGCTCTTCTGCCCATTTTTTAATTGGGTTTCTTGTTTTCTTTTTGTTGAGTTGTATGTATTCGTTCTGCTGCTTGGATATTAGTCCCTTGTCGGATGTATGATGTGCAAATATTTTCTCCTATTCATTAATGTGTCTTTTCATTTTAATTATAATTTATTTCACTATGGAGAAGTTTTTTAGTTTGATGTAGTCTCATTTGTTTTCATTTTTGTTTCTCTTGCTGTTGGTATTTAGTACACAAAAACATCACTGAATCCAGTGTCTTGGAGTGTTTTCCCTGTGTTTTTTTCCCAATAAATTTTATGGCTATAGGTCTTACATCCATGTCTTTAATCCATTTTGATTTAATCTTTGTTTTTTAGAATATTAAATTTTTAAATAATGAAGTAGCATTGCTTTACATCCTTGTTAACATTTTGACAATATATGATTTCTCTCCTCTCTCACCACAAAAGGATGAATAACCCTCTACCATGTTCCATTGTGCTCTTCCCCTCTCTCCATATAGCCCTTTCCCCCCCTACTCCACAAACACCCCCAATGCCTCAGATTTATGGTCAACTTTCACAAAGGTTGGTTTTAATGTTTGTCTTTGTCTGACCTTTGTTTGGTTTCTTTATATTACACATTAATTTCTGTATATGCTGATATATACGTGGTGGTATAGTTCCATTATTTTGCATGTGGCTGTCCAGTTTTCCCACACCATTTGCTGAAGAGACAGTCCTTTCTCCAATGTATACTCTTGACTCCTTTGTCATAGGTTATTATTTCTGGGCTCTCAAGGCTCTCAATTCTATTCCATTCCATTGGTATATGTGTCTATTTTTTATTTCAAATGCCATACTGTTTTGATTACTATAGTGTTGCAATACAGTTTGAAGTCTGAGAAAGTGATATCTTTGTTTTTCCTCCTTTTTGTCAAAATTGCCTTGGTTATGTGGGTTCTTTTCTGGTTCCATATGTATTTCAGTAATGTTTGTTCTATTTCTTTGAAGAATGTCATTGAAGCTTTGATAAGGATTACATTGAAAATGTATATTGCTTTGGGTAAGATGGCCATTTTAACAATGTTAATTCTAATCCATGAGCAGAGGATGTCTTTATATTCTTTGTATCTTCTTTTTCTTTTAGCAATGTCATAATTTTAACTGTATAAGTTCTTTATTTTCTTTGTAAAGTTTACTCCTAGGTATTTAATTCATTTTGATGTGATTGTACAGGGGATTACAACAAATTTTTAATGACTATCCTTTCTTAAGTAAAGTTGCAGGATTGAAGGGTCATGTGTGTACTGAACCTAGAATGGGGGGAGGTAATAGTCAGAGTGTAGACACATGTTTCTGCTCTGGTGAAACAGGTGCTCTAAATAGTG